CCCACTAGCCCCCCGCACACCCTGGGGGGGGGGGAAGGAGGGGACCCCAGACAAACCCAGGCTAGGCGAGCCGCCTCTGGAGCAAAGCTTCAGCGTTTGGGGAGGGTGCAGGCCTGCGGATGTGTAGATTGGGGGTCAGGGCTGTGCACATCCGTGGTGCAAGCAAGAGTAGCAGAGTTAGGCCACGCGGAGGGTTACAGAGTCACTCCCTTCCCAATGGACTGAATTCAGTTCTTTCAGTTCCCTTTCCTCTCTTTCATTCTCTGTGTATTTCCTCCTGAGGAACGGTAACCTGCAGGAACGCTGTGGTTACTCCGCAATGCCCCTCATACAAACAAGGACATTCCTCTTGCTTCACTTTGACTTAGCCGTGGGACTCTCAGGTGCCTGCCCACTCAGCCCTAACTTGGCCCTACGAGGCATCCGTTACCTTAGTTAGCGTTCTGTTAGCCGGCACTGGAGTGATATCAAACTTGAGCTCAGTCGGTAAGGGCAACCCGAAGCTCCAGCCGCCGTATCTGCATGGGAAACAAGACAGGGAAAGTGTCAGAGGGGGAGCCGTGTTAGTCTGTCACTGAAAAAAACTTTAAAAACAACAAATAGCCCTGCAGCTCCTGGGAGACTAACAAAACACGTAGATGGTCTCATGAGCTGTCAGGGGAACAACCCACTACTTCAGATGGATGGAGTTAAGGGGTCCAGGGACAAATAAATAGCAGAGAAAGAGAGGGGATCGGGAGGGAAAGAAAAGGAAAAAAATATTGTCAGTTAGTGTCTCCATGGTAAATGAGGTTGCTAGAGTACTTAGAACCCACTCTAAGTACCAGGTACCTGGCTTTTTATGTCATTAGGGTATGGAATATAGTTCATGTCTTTGTTTAAACCTTTATTGCAGATGTCAAATTTATAAATGAAATTAAGTTCTGCTGCTTCTGTCTCCAGCTGGTTTTTGAAATTGCCTTGTAATAATATTCTCTTAACTCCATTCATTGGAAGAAGTAGGTTGTGCTTACGAAAGCTCCTGAGACCATCTACATGTTTTGTTCGTCTCGAAGGAGCTGCAGGCTAGTTGTTGTTTTTGCAGGTAATACAGGGAAAGGCACTATTGTTATTGGGAAAATGCAAGGCCGGCTCCTTAGCAGGCGGAAAGCACGTCAATTCCTCTGAAGTCACCGGAGGTGCATCAGTTTCTCTTGGGGCCTCTAGGCTCTGTACAACGAATGATTATCACAGGTGTCCATTGGATTCACACAAGGTCTGGGTGGGAACAGGATTTGCACCAGTATTTCTAGCATGGGCCAGTTAATACTGCTGCAGGAGCCTTCACTTTTACAAAGAAAGCAACCAGAAAGCAAGGCAGCGAAGTCCTGATCTGTGTTCATGCGTACGATTCTGAACTGCATTTTGGCTGCTGCCGTCACCTGATTTTGCTACTCTCTTCACTGGTGCAATTCCACATTTGTTGGATGATTTCCATGAAAAATAAACCATTCCCTTTCCATCAATACGGAGAGTCGCTTTTCCCGTGACTCCTTTAACTGCACATTTACCTTGGCACCCTAATACTTCACACACGCAAACCCGCCATGTGCTACACAGTGCCGAATGGCATCAGGCCCTGATTTAGCCAAGCAGCTTAAAATCTTGGACTGAAGCACGCACTAACCCTCGGTGCACTGAAGGATGCATTTAGAGTGAAGCTTTGCCCCCCACCCAGCCCCGGACCCCTTAAAGGGGCACGGGCTGGCTACGGGGCCCGCGCGGACAGACTGGGTCAGACCAAAGGTCCATCTAGCCCAGTGTCCTGTCTGCCAACAGTGGCCAATGCCAGGTGCCCCAGGGGGGAGGAACACAACAGGTAATCATCATGTGATCCCTCTCCTGTCATCCATTTCCAGACAAACACACGTGAGGGACACAATTCCTACCCGTCCTGGCTAACAAGTATTGATGGACCTAGCCTCCATGAATTTATCCAGTTCTTTTTTGAACCCTGTTAAAGTCCTGGCCTGCAAAACATCCTCTGGCAAGGAGTTCCACAGGTTGACTGTGCACTGCATGAAGAAAAACTTCCTTTTGTTTGTTTTAAACCTGCTACCTATTAATTTCTTTAGGTAACCCCCTGGTTCTTAGGTTATGGGAACAAGTAACTAACTTTTTCTTATTCACTGTTTCCACAATAGTCATGATTTTACAGACCTCTATCATATCCCCCCTTAGTCTCCTCTTTTCTAAGCTGAAAAGTCCACGTCCTTTTAATCTCTCTTCCTATGGGACCCGTTACAAGCCCCTAATCATTTTTGTTGCCCTTTTCTGAACCTTTTCTAAAGCCAATGTATCTTTTTTGAGATGAGGCGACCACATCTGTACGCAGTACTCAAGATGTGATCATACCATAGTTTTATATAGAGGCAATAAGATATTCTCTGTCTTATTCTCTAACCTTTTTTAAATAATTCCTAACATTGTGTTTGCTTTTTTGATTGCTGCTGCACACTGAGTGGATGTTTTCGGAGAACTGTCCACAATGACTCCAAGATCTCTCTCTTGAGTAGTTGTAGCTAAATGAGTCCCCATCACATTGTATGCATAGTTGGGATTATTTTTTCCAATGTGCATCACTTTAGATTTGTCAACATCAAATTTCATTTGCCATTTTGTTGCCCAGTCACTTAGTTTGGCGAGATCTTTTTGAAGCTCTTCGCAGTCTGCTTTGGACTTAACTATCTTGCGCAGTATCAGCTGCAAATGTTGCCACCTCCCTGTTTACCCCTTTCTCCAGATCATTTATAAATAGGTTCAAAAGAATGGGTCCCAGGATTGGTAATGGGGTATTGGCCAGTTTCTTTCCTTGAATTCCTAGATTGGACAATGGCTCTTCTTCAAAGTCTCACCATCAGCTCCCAACTCTTCCCTCCCACACAGTGCTGAAAGGCTGCTGCTGCTTGAATTTGGGTGTGGACCTTGGCAGAAATATGGGGAGGGGACATGTAACCTGGCATGCCCACCCCTATGTATTGTCTCAGGAAGATGTGCCACTAGGTAGCAGGAGAGGTGGGTCAGTCCCAGGCGAAGAGGGCAGAAAGTGGTGGGCATGAAGGGGAGAGTCAGTCACCCTCCCTCTCCCTGGTGTGAGAGAGCCATATGGGCATGTCAGGTACAGGGGTGTATGTGTCACCCCTCCCCATGTGAACCGTAAATCCTTAAAGATAAGAAGGTAAATAAAAATAATCCAGTTCCTCAGCATTTCTATTTAACAGGGGCTCAGTCAACTCGATGTTAATCTGGATGTTTGTAATTCCGACTGATTACCGTTCAACCCACGTGTATGTGAGTAATTTTAACAGGTGTCCCATATCCAGGAGAGGGAAATATGACCACCCTGACTGTAAGACAGGTGCCCCGCCTCCGGCCTTAGCAGAGCGTTCAGTGAATCCAACACTGGGTCCCACCACGCTTGAAAGAAAAACCGTCCCAGGCCTGTAGCAATAAGTCCCATAGGGCTTGGCTATTCATGGGCTGCTTTCCAAAAGGAGGCTCAAACTGGTAACAAGCCCCCTGGTCAGTGAAACTGGACAAAGACAAAGAGGAGTCATTGTACCTTTTCTGGATGAACTCTTTGGCAGTGGCGAGAAGGTACGTTTCCACATCGTGCCCCGTCAGGTTATAAACCAGCCGAGAGGAAAAAGTCCTTTTGTGAGGTGGGGAGAAGTCATAATTTAGGCATGTCTGGAAAAAAAAAGTTTTTTTAAAACAATTTTTAACATTTACATTCCCTCTCTTCTGTCCCCACAAGGGAGAATTTATCACCGAGACAGGAGTCTGGCTCGCTGAAGGATTGGGACATATCTTTGGATTAGTGATCCAATGCAGCAAAACTCTTACGCGTGTGCCTTAGTTTAAGCCAGCGTTTCTTAAACTTTTTAAGAATGAGGAACACAAAACAATTTTTTTTTTGTGGGGAACCCCAGGGATTTTTTTTGTTACACACACACACACAAAAAACCCAGGGAAAAGTTGAGCAAAAAAAAAAAAAAAAAAGGAGGCTTACCTCTTTATTGGAGGTCATTCCCCAAGGAAAAGTTGTGGACCAAACCTCCCCTCCCCCCGAGAAAAGTTGTTGAAAAAAAAACAGAGGCTTGCCTCTTTAAGGGCAGCCATTTTGAATTCTGTTCTCTCTGCGGCATACTTTCAACTGTTGCGGAACACACTTTAAGAAATGCTGGCTTAAGCACATGCTTAAGTCCATCCCAGTCCCTCACTAAGATCTGAGCCCACACTTGAACCTATGTACATCCATAAGCATTTTGCGGAACTGAATCCTATATATTTATCAGGACCTCAAAGAAGTACCCACGAGGTGAGTGTGTTTCTCTGTAGGGCTCCCCTCTCCAAACATCTTCCCCTACAATGAGTTCCCCATCCCTTGCTGCCATCCGTGTTCTGTAGGTGCCTCTGCCATGCAAACAGCTAAGAACAATAATCTATAAGGCCAGGCACAGGAAAAGTGGCTGGAGCCAGACTTCTGCACGAAGTTTCTCTCCTTGATGGCAAATGCCCACAACAGGATACGTTCTCCTCCAGAGAGCATTCTGAGAAATGCAATTATCCTCTTGAATACACACTCCCTACTGCTCCGGCAGGCCACACAGAAGGATGCCTTTTAAACCTTTCCTCCTGGAAAGCATGACTATCCCTCAGAGCAGGGCACTTAATCCCCCTCCTCCGATTCATGGAGCTGTCAGCCAGACGAGATCACTGTATCCCCTAGTCACACGATTTCCCCACCCCCTTTGTCCCTGTAAGTCCTGTTCCTGCAAACACTTGGACATCAATGGTGCCAGTCACAGCAGGAGAGCTAAACAAGGCAGATGTGCTTGCAGGAGGGACAATATGCCCATTGGGGCAAGGCACGTAATCCTCACATGAGCCTTCTCCTGTCATCCATTTCCAGACAAACAGAGGCTTGGTACACCATTCCTATCCATCCTGACTCATAGCTATTGATGGACCTAATCTTCATGAATCTATCTAGCTCTTTTTTGAACCCTGTTAAAGTCCTGGTCTTCACAACATCCTCTGGCAAGGAGTTCCACAGGTTGACTGTGCGCTGTGTGAAGATAAACTTCCTTTTGTTTGTTTTAAACCTGCTACCTATTAAGAACTAGGGGTCACCAAATAAAATTCTGTTATGGGAACAAGTAAATAACACTTTCCTTATTCACTTTTTCCACACCAGTCATGATTTTATAGACCTCTATCATATCCCCCCTTAGTCTTCCCTTTTCTAAGCTGAAAAGTCCACGTCTTTTTAATTCCTCTTCATACGGGACCCGTTCCAACCCCCTAAACAGTTTTGTTGTCCATTTCTGAACCTTTTCCAATGCCAAGGTATCTTTTTTGAGATGAGACGACCACATCTGTACGCAGGAGTCAAGATGTGGGCGTACCGTGGTTTTATATAGAGGCAATAAGATATTCTCGGTCTTATTCTCGATCTCTTTCTTAATGATCCCTAACAGTCTCTTTGCTTTTTTGACTGCTGCTGCACACACACATCCGTTCAGAGAACTCTCCACAAAGACTCCAAGATCTCTCTCCTGAGTAGCTGTGGCTAAATTAGTCCCCATCATGTTGTATGTGTAGTTGGGATTATTTTTTCCAACTTTGCCTTTATCCACATTCAATTTCTTTTGCCATTTTGGTGCCCAGTCACTGAGTTTGGCCTCTCACAGTGCCTACCAGCCGTAGCACAAGGAGACTCTGAGCCCCATTGGGATCTCTAGGAGCTACTTACTGTAGCCCAGATAACGATTAATTAGCACAACGATCTAACGAGAGAGCAGTGCTGGTCTTTACCCAAGCTAGGATCACTCTGAACCAGGGACAATACCAGGCCTGGGAGCCATCTGCCCACCCTCCCAGCTACTTCCATAAGCACAGATCTCTCGGGTGGTTGAAATGTACTCTCCCCGTAAAACTTGAACCCAGCTTTACCTGGCTGCTGTCTGTGCAGTTACACGCGGAGTATCTCGTGCTCTGGTTCCCACGGAATACCCACGGGCCCAGCATGTCATCCTTCAAACACCCCCTGAAAAGGAACACAAGTTACCCTGAGGTTTTCTATAGGCAGGCGAGCAGGTGGCATGTAACGGCAGGGTGTGGCAGAGCTGTAGTGAATGGAATTAAGGTGAGAGGCACACTTCGGAGATCCTTGTTTTCCATTGGGCCATGGTGCCCCCGGGAAGTGCAGAGAACCCCTCTGATTTCACGGGGGGCCCAGATGGTTCAGCCCCACTGCCGAGATGCTCCACATCCTCCTGCTTTAGTGGCTCTTGCTAGATCTATTTCTAGCGACTACACTGTGAGACGTCTCCGGAGGAGGCTGCTTCAAATCCCCCAGCAAACAGCCGACAGAGTTCACATGAAGAGGCCAAAATGATCTTTTAAAAGAAAGAGACGCCCAATCTCAGGGGTGCTGCGTTAACTGGGTAGCTCTCCGATGGCTGATATACAGTGTCTAGGCAGCACAAATATTTCCCTGCCTGTAACTCACCGTACTAAATCACTCAGGAATACTCAGCAGTTTGGGCACTGGCCTTCTGACAGTTCGGCTGTAAAATCTCAGGGAATCCCACCCTCTGCCCACTCAGCCCAAAGAGTCCGAGAGCTTCCAAGCTTCGGTGTTGACCATCCCGCGAGGCAAGCCTGTGAGAGGCTTACTCATCTTGAGTAGCACTCCTGGTGTTCATACTGGCCCATGGGCATTGCCTTCCCAAACCGCCAGCCTGGCCCTGCCCACTGTAGGTGTACTGGGGATAGAGTATTGCTGCCCCCAGCACTCAACGTCCTACCGTACTCCAGGGCTGGGCAAGCTGGGGTCACACTCCTGCCCTCCCACCCTCTCTGTGCGTAGGGAGAAGGGGTGCGCTGCCCCGTGGTGAGGAGTGAGGAGGTGGCTTGGCTCCCCGGGGGGCAGGACTTCAGCAGAAGGGGTGAGACCTCAGCAGAAGGGGCGGGGCTGAAGGTGGGGCTGAGGGCTTGCCTCCTCCAGCCCTACTTTCACCCACCGCCCAGGTACTGGTCCGTACTTTCTACAGCATAACCCTTATCACTTCCGATGAGAACTTACTCCTGTGTGTAAACTCAGCAAAGTCAGTGGCCTATTCACACGAGGGCACCTCACAGCAAGTCCGGACACAGCCTAGCTCTTCGAGCTTAACACAGTTTCCTCAGTAAATGTAAAGCCTCTGAAAGACAGGTGGCTTCAAACCTCACACGGGGCGAATCTATCTTTGGGAACTCTGGCAACAGAGGAAACCTTTTCTGATGTGGCTCCAGGCTATGAAACCTGGGCAGATGATCAAAGGCGGTTATTAATACCTGACAGCTCTTAATTTCATGTCCTTTCCTTTCTGGAGATTAAGAATTTTAAAAAGGAGGCAAAGAACTACTTACAAATTGCTTTCATTCAAGCAGGTGTTATCTGTTCCAGGGAAAGAAAGCATTGACGCCACTAACTCATCGGTGGTCTCGTTAAAATTCCTAAGATTTAACAAAGAAAAAGAGAGGTAGGTGTTGAGGGTGCTTTCAGGATGGACCCTGTGGTAAAAACCCATCTGCTGAGTGAAATGAGGCTTGGAAATGAATTATTATTGGAGGTCCCCTGTGCAACATACTTCAGCACGAGTCATAAGTATGAGAGTAATTCCACAGCACTGCTCATAGGCTTAAAGTTGGACATAGACTTCAGCATGTTGCTGAGTTCAGGCCTGAGAAGGCTCCCATTGGTGTATACAATTATGGCCGTTCTGAATTTCATTTTGCATGAGGATCATCCACTGTGCTTCCAGAGAATGGGGATGAGTCTCCATTTGCACCTCCACCCATTCCCCCATCTTCTGTGATGCTCGTCCACTCAAAGAAGCATCCCTCGTCAGGCCCAGTCATCTGGCAGGATCTGCCTGAAACAACTCACCTCTGTCAGCGGGAATAGCTCATGCTGGGAGAGGAGGATGTGGCTTCTGCTGACCCATGGAGGCAGGTGGTGCCCTCGTCCCCCATCCCCACCCAAAGAGCCATTGTCTAGAAAAGCAGGAACAGTGCTAAGATAGGAACTCCAAGAGCAACAAAGCAGCAGGGAGAAGGTCGGGGCTGCACTGGGTATTCCTAACTTAAGGACCGGCGGAGAGCGCCAGGAAACTACGAGGCTGAATTAGAAGGCTGCAAGATACATTCATTTGAGTAATTTGAGGTTTTGGATAAGGTGGGGATTGGTTTTCAGCACAGTGAAGTCTTTACGTTCAAGAAGACCCCTAAGACTTCAACAGGGAAGGGTTTACCGACTGAAATCAAACCTCAGGGAGAGGAGACGTGACTAACCGTTGGATAATTGATAGGTGCGGTGAAGAGAAGCCTACATAATGGAGACTCCGAGGGTTCAGGTTCAGGGTTTTTATCAAGATGGGAAGAGTCGGGCAGATGGACCCACAGCAGGAGTTGGGAGCTAGAATTCTTTCCCAGACCTGTAATCTTGTCTCCTGGGGCCGAGTGCCCAAGGACAGGAGTAGGCCTCACTTCTCCTTATAAAAAGCAAGTGAAATGTATCCATCGGGGGCAAGATGGCTGCCGTTGGCTGTGGATAATTTCAGTGACAAACACGATTAAGACCTTGCTGCACATACTTTTGAGGTAATTTTTAGGGAGAGATTTTAAGGTTTTTTTTTTAAGTATTCAGATTGCTGGCTTTAGCAAAACTGTGCTCCCAGACAGACCTGCTAGGAATTCGTCTGTATTATAGCATGGTTTTCTGTGTAAAACTTTGCCACTGGATTTTCTGAATACCAAACCCTGCCATTGGATAAGAGCTCAGTAAACCACTTTTAATTAGAAAGAGAGAGACTTACGCAAAGAAATCTGCCTGCCCAGATGAACCATACAGCGAGGGAGAAAGGTGGAGCGCTGGGTATTCAGCCACCTCTGTTCTCAAAGTGCTGAGGCCCATGGATACTGTCACAAAGACCACTGGGAGGACGACCTGCGTTAAAAAGCCTTTCAAATTCCGTCGGGTGTGGTGGAACCTCTTCATGAAAACGGCCATCATCTTCTTGAGCAGCAGCGGCAAACCGGTCACCCTTTTTGATCTCACCAGGCCTTGGTCTGCGTGTGTTAAAGAGAACCCCCCCCTTAGTGCTTGTCATTGTCAAAACACTTCACATATATGAATTCACTCTCCATTGCCTCGGGGAAGTAGGTAAATATTTCTGGTCCCATTCACCGGTGGAGAGAATTGGGGCTGGGATGCCTACATGATTTGCCCAGTGTCAGAACTGGGGTTAGAACTCAGCCACTCCTAAATCAGGTCACTAGAATGCACCTCTCTCTCTGCCGCCTACCGGGGGAGAGGAACTGAGCTTCTACCAGTTTTGAGTACTTATATGCAGCCCCCCTACCTCTGTGCTCTCTGATCTCCTCACCCTCTTTAATGTATTTATCCTCAGAATGCTCTGTGAGGTAGGGAAATGCTGTTATGCCCATTTTACAGACAGAGAATTGAGACACAGAGAGACTAAGGCCCAGATCCTCAAAAGCAGGGGCACCAACAAACTCCACGGGCCACTGGGCAAGGGGAGGGGAAGCCCAGTGGGGCGGGGGCTTGGGCAGAAGGGGCAGGGTCAGAGCAACCAGTCCTCTGCACTACGTGGAATGCGCCACGCTACCCGGCACATACCATGCAGCATTCCAGGGGCTGGTTTAAAGGGCCCAAGCTCTGGTTGCCACAGTAGTGGCCAGGAGACCATGCACCTTTGAATCAACAAGCCCCGGGGCAACTGCCTCCTCCCGCCCCTACCCACCCCCCATGGGAAGGCCTGTTCAGAAGTATTTAGGTCCCTAACTTTTAATTAAAATCAGGCTTTGGGCAAACATGGCTAGCACAGAGAAAAGCTACGCCACAACCCAGAACTGAACCCGGATGAGTGAACCAACTCCTGAACCATCATTCCTCATTGCTACCCCGCAGGCAAAACACCAGTAGCTCACATGTAAACTCTAATTGGCACCGGAAAGCTACGGCTGGTCTCTTCTGCAAGTATTAACTGTTTTCATTGTTTAATAAGTACTTTCTTAGACGGGCAAATCAATAATAAAATGTATCGGAACAGGGCAAATGAAGAAAAGAAACAAGACCTAGGAGGTGGCATGTAGACTAATATATAATTGCACAGAACATGTTAAACAGAGAGAAATTCTTGTCCAAGATGCTCTTCTCTATGTGGCCTAGCAAAATCACCTCTGAAATGAATGAAATATTGCCACATATAGAATACAGCATGAAGGAAATAATTTGCAGGGCTCTTATTTGTTCAGGACATAAATCATAGGAATGCAGTGCTGGAAGGGACTTTATACTTAATCCCACATCAGGTAGTCAGTCCAGCCCTTTGAGCTACTGGAGGATTAAGTATGCCTAGACCAAGGATTGTCTCATCTCTTCTTGAAAACCTCCCGGATCGCACAGCCACACTGGGTAACCCCGTTGAGCGATTAACTCTCCTTATCGTTAGAAAGTTTTCCTGAACAACTGGCATTCCGCAGAAGGGGCACAAGAACGACCGCACTGTGGCTGTGTCTAGACTGGCCAGTTTTTCCGGAAAATCAGCCACTTTTCCGGAAAAACTTGCCAGCTGTCTACACTGGCAGCTTGAATTTCCACAAAAGCACTGACTTCCTACTGTAAGAAATCAGTGCTTTTTGCGGAAATACCATGCTGCTCCCGTTCGGGCAAAAGTCCCTTCTGCGCAAAACTTTTGCGCAAAAGGGCCAGTGTAGACAGCTCCGATTTGTTTTGTGCAAAAAAACCCCGATCGCGAAAATGGTGATTGGGGCTTTTTTGCACAAAAGCGCGTCTAGATTGGCCACGGACACTTTTCTGCAAAAGGTACTTTTGCTGAAAAGTGTCCGTGCCAATCTAGACGCTCTTTTCCGCAAATGCTTTTAATGGAAAATTTTTCCGTTAAAAGCATTTCCGGAAAATCATGCCAGTCTAGATGTGGCCTGTGAGTGCTTCGGAGTTGGAGCAACCAAAGAGAAAACGTAGCAGGTGTTTGGCACCGAACAGGAAGCACACGTCCCCTTCTCCACAGTGCTTTCTCATCCACCAGCTGATCAACTCCCTCCCTCCTGCTGCCTTCCACCAGCCACAAACAGCTGTTCCACTGTGTTCTGGAGGCTCTGGGAAGGAGGGGGAGAAGTTGGAATGGGGCACCTTTGGGAGGAGGGGGTGTAAAGATGAGGGGCGGAGCAGCCCCGAGAACAGGTGGGTGGCTTGGGGGAAAGGTATAATGAGGGCACAGCGGAGGCAAAGCAGGGAATGGGGTTTGGGGAGGTGTCAGGCACACCCCAGTTACTGGGCAAGTGAGATACAGAGCAAAGGTCCATCTAGCCCAGTGTCCTGTCTTCCGACAGTGGCCAATGGCAGGTGCCCCAGAGGGAGTGAACAGAACAGGAAATCCTCACGTGATCCCTCCCCTTTCCCAGTTTCTGGAATGCCCAAAAAATTCAATGTTATTTGGGCTGACTTTTTAGAGGCCAATGACTAATGTAGGCCCTAAACCAATATGTTGCTTCCCCCCTCCCTTGAAGCTACCCCTTTGCATATCAGGATGAATCTGATATTTTGGTGCATTTTTCCAAGGAGATCAGTTTCATAGAATCATAGAACGCTAGAACTGGAAGGGACCTCGAGAGGTCATCGAACCCAATCCCCTGCCTTCATGGCAGGATCAAGCAGCAGCTAGATCATCCCTGCTAGATGTCTATCCAACCTGCTATTGAATATCTCCAGCGATGTAGATTCTACAACCTCCCTAGGCAATTTATTCCAGTCTTTAAACTCCCCTAACAGAAAGTTTTCCTAATGTCCAACCTAAACCTCCCTTGCTGCAATCTAAGCCCATTGCTTCTTGTCCTGTCATCAGAGGCCAAAGAGAACAATTTTTCTCCCTCTTCCTTGTAACACCCAATAGGCACTTGAAAACTGCTATCATGTTGCCTCCCAGTCTTCTTTTTTCTGCAACTAAACAAACCCATTTCTTTCAGCCTCCCCTCTATGTCATGTTTTCTAGGCCTTTAATCATTTTGTTGCTCTTCTCTGGACCCTCTCCAATTTTTCCACATCTTTCTTGAAATGTGGTGCCCAGAACTGGATACAACACTCCAACTGAGGCCTCATCTACGCAGAGGGGAAGAATTTGTTCTTGTGTCTTGCTCACAATGCTCCTATTAATGCATCCCAGAATTATGTTTGCTTCTTTTTTTTTTTTTTGCAACAGTTTCATTGCCCCCATTTACAGATGACAAGAGTGAATCACAAGGTTGGTCCCTGAACAGGCCAAAGACAGAGCCGGGAATAAAACCTGGCTCTTTTAAGGCCCAATCTTTTAACACGGGACTTATTTAACAGAAGGTAGGTAAAAAAATACACCCAGAACTTGTTTTTGCAATTCAGACCGTGAGAAACCAGTATTGTTATAAATCTATTGTGTACTGTATTTGTATTGAAATCTGGTCTGTATTTAACCAAAGAAAGGAGCCAACGCATTGGATGCTCAGTCTAGCTGCCATTAATTACACTTGGTATAAGTCTGGAATAAAGTCACGTTAAATGAGTACCGTCTCTTTCTGTGAAGCTGTCAATGCTCACAGACATCTCCTTGCTGTCCATTAGATTAGTGGGCTGAGGCACTTGCTGGGACAACCCAGGTTCATGCTGTTTATCTTTCTCCAGGTCCTTAGTCAAGTTAAGAAATACCTAAAGCACAAGAAAACCAAAGAGAAGAGTATACTGAGGTGCAATCATTGCCTAGCATAACAACAAACCCACCCAGAATTACCATTCCGCTTGACTTCTTACCACGCCACGGGGCCTCTGTCCTTCATGAGACATTGTGAGATGTGGAGACACCCCTCTAAATGACAGCTCTTCCTGGCTCTCCTCCATGTTCTGGGTGAGGTTGTAAATTACTCTGCTGCTTTACAGGGCGTGACTTCCACTCCACTGCGCGCTTTGTCAGCTACTCTGGCTAGTGAGTGAGACTCGTCACGTCTGGGCTCCCTCCCTGTCCCTGTCTGTTCACTTGCAGTGTGGGTACTGAGTGAGAAACTCCTGCTCGTCCCACTGAAGCAGGCTGCTTTCACCTCAGCTTCTCACAAGTTGTCTTCACTCAAGTGATGTCTCCCGAGTAACCTCACTCGAGAGAAGAGAGTCCACAATTTTAAACAACACTTGAGTTGCTGTGTCCACATTGGTGCTGCACGGACTTACGGGCAGTACTCTGACTTCCAGGGATAATATCCCATGATTCTTAGCACTGCTGTGTGCAGAGCTGCTCTCTACAAGCTTTTCCAATGACTTATGGTCTTCCACTTGTCTGGGCACGAGGGAACCGGGGAAAGGCACTGGAGTGCCGGCAGCACTCATGTGGCAGAATGGTCCATCTTGTCAACTGAGAAGTTGTGTTCACTCAAGTTTTACCTTACTCCTCTCCAGTCTTGTCTTAGCTAGGCAAAAATGGTGTGTTCTTACCTCAAGATGCCACCATAGTGAAGACAAAGCAATTTGTGTCTTTCACATAAGTTAGCAGGTCAACTATGAAGATTACCAGGAAGTCTATTTCAGCAGGGACAGAGAAAACTCATTCTGGGAGTGTCAATTATTTCCCCCCGTGCAGACTCCAGCGAGTCAGACTTAACCCCGGTACTAACGCTCCCCCGGCAGCCCCATCAGTTTCCGAAGCGTTTACTTCTCCCTCTTAAAACATTTTATGTGAGGGAGAAGGGTTGTTAGATACTCAGCTGCACGTACTCCCTCCGTGTGCTGTCCCAGCTCTGCACAGGGAGTTGGCACAGCAACCTTGAGCGAACTGCCCCATGATCCGTTAAGGTGCGAAGGCACTTGGTCATGTTTATTGTCTATGAAGCACAGATCAGTGTCTACAGTTACACTAGAGACAATGGTCAATGGACCTTCCATTCCCCCCTTGGCTGGCCAAAGACCTTCCCTCAGAGATACCTCTTTATACACCGATCAAAGTTACATGTTGTCTCTCTGATGTGTCTCTCTGGCGTATCTAGGCGCCACTCATTGCCTTGCACCTGGTGGTCTGATCAAACCATTGCTATCCATCATGCTGTCTTCTTGCCCTTATCTTTCAGATGGGTCAGCATGTCCCTGGTACCTTTGAGGAATGTGTTGGGATCAAGTTGTTCTGGAATGTATTTGTGTGTATATTCTTGTGCCTAGCACTACTTTGGGATGTGTGTTTCTGTGCAGCAGTCCTATTCTTGCCAGATTCTAGGAGCAGGCCCTGCCTCTAGTCATAGCCTGACTTTGCTTTATATTAGCAAAGCTCCGACTGCTACTTTAGCCCAGACCTCAGGCCTCATACCAGGCCTCTGATACAAGGGCTTATATTTCAGCCCTTCTTCTGACTATAAACAGAGGCTGCTTAATGGGAACAGAGGCAAGACGATCTCTGTGAGTTTGCAGACAGAAAGACAGAGATAGTTATTCTGAGGGGCTAATAGGGTATTCACCCTGAAGCATAACGACAACAGTTAAAAGTGTCAGCATTATGAACTCTCTCACACTGATTGTTTCAATAGAAGCACCAAGATTCATTGAGATTGCCAAAAGAATTTAAGAATCCTACTACCATTCCCGTTCCCCAAATCCATCATCTCTTTTGCCTTGGAAGATATTGAAAGACATTTAGTTGAGTGGGAATTTTTGGTGAGCCAGAACATCCTCGTAGCTGGACTTGAAAACACAGAGCTACAACAAACCACAACACCCAGTGGTAGAAAGAAAGCTGACTGGCTTACCAAAGGCCAACAACAGCCCACCATTCCCACCCAGTCATGTCACTGTCTGCCTCCAACTCTCCAAATCACCAACTCTCCAGACTGTGTCATTCAAAATGAAAGATTTGGCACACGTACCTCTTCCACAGTGGAGTCTGAAATGCCATAGCAGCCAATGTGGAGATCGCTCAGGCCGGAATCTAAAACCCTCAGCAGAGACTGATATGCTCCAGAGACTCCAGAGTTGAACGGCGGAAGCACATATACAAGCTCTCCACCGACGTCTTCCTTGAGATAAGCTGCTGGCAGGTGGGACTGGATCAGGGAGGTCACCGCCGCAGTGTCGCACTCCTCTGTCAGGTGCTGGTTCGGACACTGGCAAGAGAGGAAATAACTCAAAAGTTCAAATATCAATTGTGGCACCAGCCCCCTAACCCATGACTTTATCTGCCTGTGACATGTGAACCTGTTGTCTTCAAGACACATAAGATCAGAAGAACATAAGAACGGCCAGACTGGGTCAGACCAAAGGTCCATCTAGCCCAGTGTCCTGTCTGCCCACATTGGCCAATGCCGGGAAAGAGGGAGTGAACAGAACAGGGAATCATAGAGCAATCCCACCCCTGTTGCACCCATTCTCAGCCTCTGACCAACAGAGGCTAGGGACACCATTCCTGCCCATCCGGGCTAATAGCCATTGATAGACCTAACCTCCATGAATCTATCTAGTTCTCTTTGAACCCTGTTAGGGTATGTCGACACTTCGGGATAAGGTCGAATTAAGAGATGCAACTTCAGCTATGTTAATTGCTTAACTCGACTTTTGGCACTGTCCACACTGCAGGGAGTCGAAGGGAGAACACTCTCCCTTCAACGTCTTACTCCTCATGGATACAGGAGTACCTGAGCGCCCCTCTCAGTTCAAATTAGCATGTCTTCACTAGACCCTGCTAATTCGAACCCTGGAAGATTGACAGTGGCAGCTTCAATCTTCTCGGTAGTGTAGACATACCCTTGAAGTCCTGGTCTTCACAACATTCTCTGGCAAGGAGTTCTACAGATTGACTGTGTGCTGCATGAAGAAAAACGTCCTCTTCTTTGTTTTAAACCTGCCACCTATTAATTTCATTTGGTGACCCCTAGATGCTCATCTTCTCAAAAGGCAGATGAAATGTCTTTACAGCTGAGATGCTAGACTGGGCAGCAGATCTGAGCTCAAGGCCCAGCTCTGCCATAGACTTGGGTGGCCTTGGGCAAGCCACGTAGGTTATGTCTCCACTACAGCTGCGACAGCGCTGCTCAGACAGGGTAGACAGACTAGCAGAGACTCGGGCTCTAGCCCATATGGTGTCCCTGCCAAAGTTTCAATGCTTGTGCTAATCTGTCTAACCATGCTGGGCAGTTCGTGCCCAGCTACAGTGCAGACATACCCTTAGACCTTGTGAGCATGATGTGAGCAAGACACGAGATGTCATTCTTCCGCTTTACTCTGTGCTAATTAGGCCTCAGTTGGAGTATTATGTCCTGTTCTGGGCACCACATTTCAAGAAAGATGTGAAGAAACCGTGGAAAGTCCAGAGAAGAGCAACAAAAATGATTAAAGCCATGCTTTGCCCCCTCTTCCAATCCTGTTGTACCGTGGAACTCGGGCCCCTTGCAGGCATTTCCAATTGGGCAACCAAAATCCACTAGTGACTCTTGAAAATTTCAGGCTATACCTTTTCCGTTCCCAACACAGTGACAAACCTTCTTCTTGGTGAGAGTCAGGTGGTATCCATCACCAAAGGTTTCTTTGAGGTAGAACGGAGATCCACAGCATTTGAGTCCTCCCTGTTCCAGGAAAGCGATTCGGTCACTCAAAACTTCTGCTTCGTCCAAGTGATGGGTCGAGAGAATAATTGTCCGGCCTGGGGAATGCATAGGAAAGCAAAGACACATGACTGAATCAACGGTGATTGTGAAACATGCAGTACAGGCAAGCGACATAATCAAATGAGGGCGTAGAATAGCATATACCTATGTGAATAATTAATGAATAGTGGTGGTCATTGAGTAAGAGGCAACTTTGCGAAGAAACGAGACACCCCCCTAATCACGGTGGCAGAGTTAATTCTTCAAAGTGAATTTAGCGGAAGATAACCGGAGCCCATCGAGGGTTGGGAAAGACCATATTCCCCATGGAGTCCAGCTCCTTGTGGTCTCCACATCTCATAGTCCCTGGTGGTTTTGGAGAGGCAGAGAAAGGTGGCACTAGGATACAGACTCAGAGATGGTAGACCTATGGCGCTTCACCCGACTCTATGACTGGAGTAGACCACAAATTCTGCAGCTACTTCATAGCCTGGGGTAGGGGAGGATTCTGATTGGTCTGAGGCACTCCGTGCTTAGACCAGCGATGGTGCAAACACAAGATCTGGCATGCGTTATGCGTATTGCCAATCCAGCCTCTCTCACAATGTTGTTACATGAATTAAGACTTTGAGAAAACTGCTCCCTCATTGCTAGATGGATTATAATTCTTCTGGGAATATTTGGTAAGTACAGATCCAAATTCCACTGAGGACTCTCACTTGCTTAACCGGGCTTTGGTTCAGGGCTTGGATGACAGACACAATTGTTCAACCAAGACTCCCTATATCCATTCTTCAACAATTTCTAACCAACTCCAATGCGGTCATTAACCTCAAGGTCGACTTTCACTGTCAGTGCCACCCCTACTAAATATGGCTACAGCTGCTGGATTTTCATACGCAAGAATCTGGGGTAACATTTTCAAAAGAAACCAAGCAACTGACAACACTTTTCAAAAGGTCCGTAGCCACTAACGACTTGAAATCACTTGAAGAACGCTACCCCCGGGTCTCTTTGCAGTACCTTTTTTATTTTTCGATATAATCTCCCAAATACTCCTCCGAGAACATGGATCCACTCCAGTGGTTGGTTCATCCAAGATCACGACCCGTGATCCACCAAGGAGAGCTATTGATATAGACAGCTTTCTTTTCATCCCTCCCGACAGAGCGCCGGCTAACTTGTGACGATGGTTGTACAAGCCGGTATCCTTCAGAGTCCTTCAAAACACACACACACAAACGCCCCAGACAGCTGCAGTTCAGTTATTTAGCAAAAGAAAGGGGAATCTGAATGCATCAAGCAACATTAACGCAAATGAAAAACTGCTCAGGCAGATTCAGAATTGTCATAATGCAGAATGAACATATAGCTCAGACTCAGGATTGGGTTTTTTTTGTGGGGGATGCTTCATAAATTCCATCTGATGTGTCAAGGTTAAGGGCAGGATCCTATGGCTGGGAAACCCAAAGCGCCAGATCCACTGGTAAGTGCCATAGAATCACAGCACGCTAGAACTGGAAGGGACCTCAAGAGGTCAAGTCCAGTCCCCTGCCCTCATGGCAGGACCAAGCACCATCAAGATTAGGGGTGAGCAATAGTTTTTTACCGGGGGCCACTTCAGAAATTTTTGAAGTGGCCCCGGGCTGCTCTGGAAGGGGCGGGGCCTCAGGCAGAAGGGGAGGGGCCAGGATACTTCCCTGCTTCCCCACTCATAGACCATGACTGGTCTGGTAGTGGGGGAGTGCATGAAGTCTTTGTTCCCCCACCCCTCCGAGGTTCCCCCTAGAAGCCTATACCCATGGTGGTAGGAGGAGACTTTGCGCGCTCCCCCTTCTGCCCCCAGGCCAATCAGGACTTGGGGGCGGGGGAGTGCACGAAATCTCCTCCTGCCCTTCAGGAGCAGCACCGTGCGCTCCTTGAAGGGCGGGGACAGGGTGGAGGAAACTTTGTGCACTTTCCCCCACCACCAGGCCCTGATTGGCCTGGCGGCAGGGACCTCTGCAGGCCGGATCAACCTGCTTGGCAGGCCAGATCCGGGCCACGGAGGCCCTTTTGCCTATTCCTGATCTAGGTCATCCCTGATAGATGTCTGTCCAACCTGCTCTTAAATATCTCCAGGGATGGAGATTCCACAGCCTCCCCAGGCAATTTATTCGTGTTTAACCACCCTGACAGGTGGTAAGTTTTTCCTAATGTCCAACCCAACCCTCCTTTGTTACAATTTAAGCCCGTTGCTTCTTGTTCTATCATCATAGGATGTGCAGAATCATTTTCTCCCTCCTCCTTGTAACACCCTTTTAGGCATTTGAATGTACAGGATGCTTTGCTCTGTTTGGTATAACTGGTTCGTTGAAGCTCCGTCTCTGGAGTGCTGGAACATACAGGGGAATCTACAGTCAATTGTAAGTTTGTTGGGAAAGCAGCCACGTTTTCCTAGATCCAGAGATTTTAGGCCAACAATAGGACTTATTATGATAACCTAGCCTGGCCTCCTGCTTAACACAGGCTGCCAAATTTCACCCAGTACTTTCTGCCTGGAGTCCACCAGCTGGTACGGACTCTCATTGACCTGCTGAGCGTTAACACACAGGACACTGTAGGTAGCACAGGTTGAGGGAGCGCGACGTCCCCATGACCACACCTTTTCACTTCCTCGTCTAGCTTCTGCTCACTGCAGTGCGGGATTTTGATGTGGCCGTAGAGCAGCAAGTGTTCCGTGGCCGTGAGGTAGCTAAAGAGCACGTTGTGCTGCATACAGACACCCATGTTCTTCCGGATGAGGTCCTGATCTGTCCGGATATCTTTGCCATAAACACATATCGTGCCTGATGACGCAGGAAACAGCCCCGTCAAAATAGATCTGGGAGGGAAAAGAAACTAGGGGTGAACAAATGCAGAGATACTTTTCCCCCAGGGCCTCGCTGAATTCCCCTAGCGGGACTGCTAATGTCCCTTTCCTTGATTTCATGCAAGGTAGCCACATTCCAACTGCTAAGGGGGAAGTCCCGGCCGTCTCTGGGGCCTACACCTGGAGGAAAGACTGGACAGACCTGTGAAGCCAGGTAAAGAGAAAGGAAACTAAAAGTAAATCCTCTTCTCCTTTATATCTCAGCCCCTCGAAAGACTCCACATAATGCAATGCTCCTTGCAACCAATGCGGACAAGACCCAGCTCCCTTCTAGAGCCTCTCCATTTTGCTGCTGTGTCACCAAGAGAGCTGGAGAACCCGTAAAAGAATTCAGCTCTATTGACAACCTACTTGGGTCCGCTGGCCCAGAACCCGGGGGCCAACGCTCAGGTCCTCAACTCAGAGCCTCTTTGTGGAAACGTTGCTCTGCCATCAGGCCACTGGGTTTACCCCACCCCCAGAGAAATAGGGCCCCCGCGCTGCTGTTTCGTTGTGGAGAACTCCCACTGTGAAGATCACTCTACATTTTAGAGCGTTTTAGCTGCACCATCCAGTGAACCAACTGCCGGTCACCCCGTTGGCTTTGACAATGGGAGGGCCCTGAGTTCATTGCCTTCCTAGCAAGAAAGAGAGAAATGTGCAGGCTTCCAGACAACGTTGCTACACTGAGCATCTCAGGGAGAACAGGTCTCCATTCTGTCGGTTAGTTCACGCCCATGATCACCTACCCAGCAGCACCCAATGGAACGGAGGGGTGTGCTTTCTCCCCACAATGACGACACCTACAACAGTGGTCGCGTTCAGAGACTCCCTGTGGGGTTTAAGAGGAGAAGCTATTTTTGAAGCTGCCGCAGTGGCTGCTACGGCCCGCACAAGAGCTTTCCATGCCCTTGGGACTCTGAACCCTCCCCTCCCCTGTTATTGCATTTGAAAAGGAAGGAGCCGGTGGGGTGGGCTCCCCACCCCGCATCAGAATTTGCCTCTCGTGTCTTGTTCCAGGAAGTCACTACGGTTAGTCTGTGGAGACACTAGGGCTGCATCTAGACTGGCAAGTTTTTCCGCAAAAGCAGTCACTTTTGCGGAAAAACTTGCTAGCTGTCTACATTGTCCGCTTTGAATTTGTGCAAGAACACTGATGATCTAATGTAAGATTGTCAGTGTTCTTCTGCAAATACAATGACTCTCCCGTTCGGGGAAAAAGACCTCTTGCGCAAATGCTTTTGGTGAAAATGGCGATTGGGGCTTTCTTGCGCAAAACCGCGTCTAGATTGGCACAGACGCTTTTCCACAAAAAGTGCTTTTGCTCAAAAGCGTCCGGGCCAATCTAGATGCTCTTTTCCGCAAATGCTTTTAACGGAAAAACTTTTCTGTTAAAAGCATTTGCAGAAAATCATGCCAGTCTAGATGCAGCCTAGGTGTGTCGGCCTTTGTGGGGTTTGGCCTCCTGACGGTATGTTTGCTGATCAGCATAACATACTGCCAGGGGAACAGCATAGCCACTCCTGGGTCTTGCGGTTGTTGCCCGGTCCGTTCTGCTGTGCTTCAGTTCCAGCCTATTGCTCTAACACACCGAGGTGCTGGGAAAGGGAGCACCGAGGGCCTTTCGTTAAGGCTGCAGCCTAGGACTCCAGTGGAGAACTCTGGGTTCCATACACTCTACCATGGACCCCGGTGTGACTGATGGAGATGTTCCTAGGCCAGCCATGCTCCAGCTGTTTGGGGAGCCAGAGAACGGTCAAGTGTGGGGTGGAGCTCCATTGCGCTCCATTGCTCTTGTGGTGACATATGGGTCCGTAGGCTGCTCTAACCTATGCTGCTTCAGTGCATGCCAGGGTTCAGCACAGACTGGCTCAGAGCTCTGTGGGGATCACATGAGCCTATGGGTGGCTGGTAATGCAGGCAAGGGAAGGCACTGCCTTCCCAAAACTGCCTACATGCGTTGGCTTCCTTGGCTACCGGGGAGGGCTGGGGCCGGTGCTGCAGTGTGGCAACCCCAGACCTCCAGGTGGCCAGGAAGGATAGGGCTGGGGGTGGGCGGGGCTTGGCTCTAGGGCCAGGGTCTCAAGTAGAAGGAGTGGGGTTGGGGATTTCCTTCCAGAGCTGGGTCTTCCCCCGCCACCCATACATCAGTCCATCATGGTGCTCAGCACGGCTTGGGTACATGGGGGAATCCAGTCCTACGAGTCTGTTTTCAGATTCATTATTTCCTAACAAGGAAAACATGCACACCTGGCAGACTGGAATGGCCAATATTCAGCCATTGCTCTTCTCAGCCCAGCAGACTCATGTGCTGTTCATCTGAATATACAGCCATTAAGCTTCTTCCCCATACTGCTGATTGGTACAACCCGATCAACCATGGCTTCCTGGAGCAAGTTATCATGAGCACCAAAGCGCCACTGACGTTCCAACCACAGCCATGCTATACAACATGATAGGAATTCCATTGGACTGAGCGCCCAACGGCTCTTACAGCTTTTACTTCTTGTTTTCTCAGTCGCAGGAGAGATGGCTTTCCCCCGCAAAAGTGTTCTTAACCAGCCCTGTCAGACTTCAAAGTACGACAGCCTTGTCTATAACAGAGGGGATGGATACAGAGCACGATACGCCCCCCAACTCCCAAGACACCTACAAAAGAATCAAATCAAAGCTGACAATGTGTCTAGCTCTTCTGACACAGAACAAATGGGAGGTCTTGTTCACACATCCCCTCTAGCTATGCTGACCCATGCGATGCCGCATCAAATAGCCACGCCTAAAAGAGACATACATTGTTGTTGTTTTCCCAGCTCCATTGTGCCCCAGCAAGGAGGTGATGTTTTCTTCATAGAAGTTCAGGCTGAGGTTCTCCACGGCAGCTTTGGAGCCATAGGTCTTCATTATTCCATGAAGAGACACTCCCACGGTGAGGTTGGGGGGGTCAGGCTCGAGGGTAGGAGGAAGGGCACTTTTGACATCTAAAATCAGAGGAGATAACGTATAACTTTATATACGAGGCTATGGCGCTTTTAATCTAGGAAAAAAATAGGGCTTTTTTTTTTATAAAGAGCAATAAAGAAAAGTAGATTCTTGTCAGCTGGAAACTAATTCTCCCTCTAACCTCCTACAGCTTAAACAAAAAACAGGACTATGCAGCACTTTAAAGACTAACAAGATGGTTTATTAGGTGATGAGCTTTCGTGGGCCAGACCCACTTCCTCAGATCAAATAGTGGAAGAAATCCTACAGCTTAGAATTTCCACTGTTGTGTGTCGTGTGATAGCAGTATTGGTCTGGTCACTCCATACTGGAGCTCATACAGGGTAAAACAAGTCATACTTGATGAGGACTAAAGACCTCTTTTCTGAGCCCCTTCTTCTGGCCTTCCAACCACCATCTCCAAACTCCTCCTCAGAAGCAAGTTTCTCAAATACCAGAGCACTGCAACTCGAAGCAGCACCAGACTCTGCAAGAATAACAGATGCAAAACCTGCAGGCGTCTCTCCATGGCTACAATGACCAGCATCCCCAGCAAGGGCCATGAGACCTACACACACCTGTCACAACATGCAGTGGACCTCATCTAATACGCCCTGATACTAACTAGCTAGTCAACACAGACAATCAATGCGCTCTTGAATGAACCCCCGCAGGAAAATGAGAAAGACGTAAACACCCCGTCACCTGAACTGAACACCTTTTCACACAGCAATCTCTCCACAACTGACCTCACAGGCCTCATTCTCGAAGGAAACCAGCCCAGCTCCTTCTAAAGATGGGCCTAGGAGCTCACCTTTGCACCTTTGCTGGACACTATAAATATTGGATGGAATAGACACACTAGAGAATTTCTAACAATGATCTATACCCCACACAACCCTCACCTGCCCGCAAGCTGCCTTCCCTCACACTGTCCCCTCTCTGCCCTGTAACTGGAGAGGTGTTAACGGTGCCGTTTCACTTCACAGAGCTCCTTGAAATGTCTGTTAAATAGCATATCCCAAATGCCTGGTGTTTGGCGGGGACATCGGGACCACATTTCCCAGACCTGAAGAAGAGCTGTGTGTAGCTCAAAAGCTTATCTCTCCCACCAACAGACATTGGTTCAGTAAGAGCTATTACCTCACCCACCTCATCTCTCCATAGCCTATCCCACCAGTAACCAGCAAACGGTGTATAAGTGGCCCCGTGGCCCTGCATTCCATGCCACCTCCAGCAAATATGGCTCAGTACAGACACAGCAGTCTGCCCAGCGGGTAAGGTATTTAACTAGACTCCTGGGCTCTATTCAGGGTTTGATGACTGATCTAGCTCAAAATACTTCCACTTGCTGGGCCTCTACTTTCCCTCCCACTCTCTGTTCTGTCTTGTCCGTTTGAAGGGCCAGCTCTTCGGAACAAGGATGTCTCCCATTAGGTCTCGTTGGAGAAGGGAGTTGGGGGGGGCAATTGTGGTTGGGGGTCTCTAGGCCCTTATTGGTAAAAATTAATTATAATCATTCATCATCACAACGATGCTAATTTAACTGTCTGCGCTGTACTCTCATTATTTTAGCAGCTGCTATTCCTGTTCATGTGATAAAAAGTCAATCTTTTAAATAAGAAGCACTCGGTGGACAGGAGAAGCATTATGTAAAGCACCCAGGGTTTAATCCCTCTTCACAATCAATCAGTTTGTTCAACACCCCCCGTTGGGAAGGTTGGGAATAGTTGCGGTGCTAGCCACATGTCACACACGAGGAAACAGAGGCTCGTGTCAACAGTCACACTCCTCTTGGCAAAACGTGTGTTGGTCCAGAGTGTGAAAAACACCCCCCTGGCCAACTTCAAAGGGTAATTCTGGTTTTCAATAAGGAGAGGTTTCAGAAATGCCCCTGACATTTAAAAATGGGGATACCTCTGCAATCAGCAATATTTCCAGTACAAGAATGGCCAAACATGGCGCCCCCCCTTTGTAAACCTAGCTTCTCTAGCATCAACAACGCTCGTTAGCAAGTCCAGTGCTCACGTACACATCTTTTTGGTGACTTCAACCTGCTTCCTCAGCAAGAGTTTGGCGAAGAGGAGGTTGCATCTTTTCTCATCCCATAATGGCATGTAACCGTAGTGCTCGGCCCAGTAGGATGGGAGCAATGGGAAATACCACGGGGAAGCCATGCCATATTTTCCTGCAGCCACAAACAAAGATAAAAGAAAGAAAGAAGGGGGCTGTTCACTGGCATCTTGCAGAAAGTACTAGCTGTGATTGTGCAAAACACAACTCCTAAAGAGTTTATTCTCGCCATGACATGCATGTGTACTACTGGCGACTTCTATTTTCTCGGATTGTGTCATAGGGAGTATGGGGTAATATATTATCACAGTCAAATGGGAGGCACGCACTACTTTTCTGCCCTCTGTCGGTTTCTGTACACTGACCGATGGACCGTTTCCCCAGCCATAGAAGGGAAACAAAAATCACACAGTTCCCCAAGCCCCTGGCTTCAGAGCATGAGTTGCTATGTGAAATGAAAGAAGATAAATGACACAATATAAAGCAGGTGCAGACACGGAGAAGTGCGGGTGACACCCCCAAAGGCTTTCCCCGTGCTTCCACCAGCCAGGGGAAAAGAGTACGTAGCCTTCCCCAGCCCAGCTTCCTCTATAGCCCATCTAGCTATGTGACAGGCACGGTTTCCCTAACTCAAGGGTGGGCAATAAAATGGCGGCAGTTCACCTGGTAGGCCGCTGACACTGTATTTATCTGCACCTCCAGAGGGACGAGCGATCACAGCTCCCATTGGCCGGGAACGGTGACCCGCGGCCAATGGGAGATGTGCTCCCTCATACCTGTGGAGACGCAAGTAAATACGGTGGTGTGGGGGCCCAGCAGGGACTAACCCTGGCAGACTGAATCCAGCCCACCCCAACCCTAACCCCTTTTAGGTGGCTGCTTCGCCCTATCACCGTTTCATTATTTCTCTCAGATATTCAGTCACATGTGGAACCCAAGGTCACTCCCCCTAAGATACTACTTTGTGTCACAATCCCACCTCCTCAGTCCACAAGTGGAAGGCGCTTCCAAGCACAATCTACTCACTCCCATTAATTCTGGAATCAGGCAGGGCAGGTTTCTTGTTTCCAAGAGGGACTGTAGGGAACTACTTTGCAATATTTTCTATTATTACCTGGGAAAACGTTTCTAATGTACCAGCCCAGAAGGAAATAGATGACAGAGTCTATCAAAATTAACCAGCACATCCAGCCAAAAGAAGTATTGTCGCCAGCCATTGGTGAGCTATACAGATTGTCCCATTGCAGACCTGAAGTAAAGACACAAGGAATAGATCATGGAATAGATGAAGTATTACGAGGGAGCAAAACTTAGTTTCGTGCGTGCCCTACATACCTGTACCCTGTTCCTCATAACGAGCAATGTATTGACTAGCATAACTGAATGCAGTAGGGGACAACAGGCTCTGTGGAATAAATTGGAAAACAAAATTTATCAAAATATTCACATAAAAACATTCATTTGTTCTACCCGGTGGCCGGAGAAGTGGAGGAGAATCTTTCCCCTGACTTCACTGAGCACAGGGTCGAACACATGATTGACAACACTTTGAAAAACTGAAGCTTGGCCTGAGAACGGCCTGAGGGCTACGGCTAAATTTACCGACCAAACTGACTGGAATGATGTTTGCTTAGACAAGAAACGAATCTGGCTTTTGGAAGCAAAACATGTAGAAGTCCAAGGAAATTGTGTCTCCAGGAGAAGGTTTTTTTACTTATGACTTTATACAGGCCAGGTGAAAAAGGATCCCAAATGCTACGACGACTCTAAGACCCAGATCCTCAGAGGTATTCAGGCTCTCAAGTTCAACTGAAATCAGTGGATGTTCGGAGGATTCTGGTGTCATGGCTTTACATTGCAGGATCTCAGTGGAGTACAGGATGTGAGGTTTCCATTGCAAGACAGAGACTGGCTAGTCAGTGAGATGTTTTGCGCCTGCTCCTAAATCCTTTTATCCCACACCTCAGTTAAGAAAGGTATTGATATCTGATCATCTTGATTTTTCTCCTCTGGAGCAAGCATGACATTATGATTCTTTAGTTCTGTTTTCATTACTCTGTAAGGCCATGTCTACACTACATAGAAGATCGATGCTGCCATAGTCAATCTTCCAGGGTTTGATTTAGCAGGTCTAGTGAAGACCCGCTAAATCGAACTCAGAGGGTGCCCCCATTAGTACCAGTACTCCTGCTCCTCACGAGGAGTAAGGAAAGCCAATGGGAGCGACCTCCCACTCTGTGGATGGCATGGAAACACAACTTAAGATACACTGACACCAGCTACGTAATAGTGTAGCTGGAGTTGCATATCTTAAGTCAATCTTCCACTGTAGTGTAGACGAGGCCTATAGGTGAATTTGAGGTTTGTGCAACTAAAGAATTTGCAGTGCTAGGTATAATGAAGTCAGCAACCTTCCCTCAAATCTCTGAGGGAGCCCCCCATTCCTATCCATAATAGCCTGGCTACTTTATCCATAAGTAGCTCTTGGTCAGAAACTGCTTGTCATGGAGAATTCTACCTCAGTAGCTTGGTGAGGTTCCATAAACAAAGTCGAGGATGAAGCCACCAAGCTGTCATTTGTGACACAAGAAACTTGGGACCACCAAAAGTGAACGACTGTTCCCAAACACTCCAGCCCTTTTATTTTAACAAGGAAGAACTCACCATGAGACTCTTCACCGAGAAGCTCAGATGGTTCTCAATTACCAGCAGCACAATGAAGGGAGAAAAGGTAAGACTGTATATGAGGCTGCCAACCAAAGCGGCAATGTTGGTGTTGTTGAAGAAGACGCTGATGAGGTAGCACATGGCTATGATGGAGAGGCTGTAGTCCATGAGGTACAGGAACAGGATCACCACGTTGATTTTGGGAAGGATGTTGCCAACTTTCAGGATAACGATGAGAAACGTGACTGTGATTAGAAGGAAGGTGGCGCATTCGATGAACCAGGCAATGAAATGGCTGCTAGAGTTGACACCCATCATCTTCATATACTGTGGAGAGGAAGACAGAAAAAGGACAGCTATTTAGTAAGAGAGATTTCCGATTACATCCTGTCACCAGCATACTTCAATATTCCTCTCTCACACTCAGTGAACAGTGCATGGAATTAGCACGTGCCCTCTTGGATTTTGGCATAAGCTCTATGTATAAACTAGAGTAGCCCAGTGAACATGTAACTTCAGTCTCTCCTGGGTTTGCACAACAGTCTGGTGCAAGAGTGTCCCAAAAGTGTACACGGCCCCCAAAGTCCAATGCAAATGCTAACACTGGCCTCTAGTTTAACATATTTGTTGCTTTTCCAAGACATTTAGGACATATTTTAAAAGATGTCTATTGAATGGTTTTACCACAAACGCACTTCAAATTTCAATCAATGAGCTCATTGTAAAAAAAAAGTCCATTTCCCCATTACCCTCTCACCTAACTCGCTAAAAATGCAGATGCTCCCGGTCCAAATAGACACCACTGCAACGAAGTCTCACTAATTTGCAGCTGTGATTCTGACCCTATCAACTTTAGAAGCCTGTTTGAGCCTAAGAATATTAGATGCTGAAAGAGAAACCACATTCATGGCTCTTCTCTTTAACCGGTGCGACTTAACATAACATAAGAACAGCCAGACTGGGTCATACCAATAGTCCATCTAGCCCAGTGTCCTGTCTGCCGACAGTGGCCAATACCAGATGCCCCAGAGGGAAGGAACACAACAGAGAATCACCAAGTGATCCCTCTCCTGCCATCCATTTCCAGACACACAGAGGCTAGGGACACCATTTCTACCCATCCTGGCTAATAGCCATTGATGGACCTAACCTCCATGAATCTATCTAGCTCTTTTTTGAACCCTGTTAAAGTCCTAACCTTCACTACATCCTCTGGCAAGGAGTTCCAGAGGTTGACTGTGGGCTGAGTGAAGATTTCTACCAAGCTTCGCGCCACTTTGGCTCTGGTGGAAACACGGCAGCAGATTGCCCTCAACAGGATAAGCGGAGATCAATTAGTCAATGTTTTTTCTCTTTTTGCTTTGTTTTTTTCAAAGCTCATTAAATCCCCTTCTGTTTTTGCAAATGGTCATTAGTGGAAGGCATTTTCTGGTGATCTGGTAGCTGTTTCCATGGGAATGGCTGCACGAACAGAGCGGTCTGAGTTCTTGCTGATTGCTGAGGGTGACGCTTGCAGAAGCCCTTTGGCTCTCAGACCTGTAGTACCTGTTCACTTTGGGCATCCAATTAAACTAGGGTAGGAAAAAGAACTTCACTTTGCTGTCAGTGCTGTTGTTCTCCCGCTGGTAAGTGCAAGGAATAAAGAGCTCTCCTTCGCTAGAGCAGGCATAAAATACCACGCCAGTGGAGACGTAAGGAAGAGCTGACTTCAAATGTAGGAAAAAACCCATTTCACACTGTCCCCACTTCCAGCATACACCTGATAACATTGAAAGCCCTATTCTTTTGTGCTTTTGACATCTTTCCAGATGGCCGCGTGACCATGCTTGCAGTTCTGACAGGCACAACGTGACCTACTAGCTGAAGCCTTGGAAGCTAAGTCCTGTCCTTCCTGGTTTGAGTTTTGTGGGAATTAGATGAGTTCTGGCCAAATAATGGGCGCGTTCTATTGGCTGGGGCTGCCCCAGTTTTAACCTCTCCTTGAGATACCCAGGAATACTGCATCTACTGAGTTTGCCAAACGCTCTTGATCACGTGGTATATGCTCGTCCAATCAGGGACACAGGAGAAAAGCCGTGAGACGTATGACATTGCCAGCAGATCTATGGAAGTGATTATTCCCCTTTATTCGGCACTGGAGTATTGCGACCAGTTCTGGGCTCACCACTACAGAAAGAATGTGGATGCATTGGAGAGAGTCCAGCAGAGAGCAACCAAATGATTAGGGGGCTGGAGCATATGACCTATGAGGAGAGGCTGAGGGATTTGGGCTTATTTAGTCTACAGAAGAGAAGAGTGAGGGGGGATTTGAGAGCAGCCTTCAACTAACTGAAGAGGGTTCAAAGAGGCTGGAGAGAGGCTGTTCTCGGTTGTGACAGATGTCAGGAGGAGCAATGCTCTCAAGTTGCGGTGGGGGAGGTCTAGGTTGGCTATTAGGAAAAACTATTTCCCTAGGAGGGTGGGGAAGCACTGGAATGGGTTACCTATGCAGGGGGTGGAATCTCCATCCCTAGAGGTTTTTAAGTCCCAGCTTGACCAAGCCCTGGCTGGGTTGATTGAGTTGGGGTTGGTCCTGCCTTGGGCAGGGAGCTGGACTTGACCTCCTGAGGTCTCTGCCAGCCCTAGGATTCTATCATTCTATGAATAGATCCTCTCCTGGGCTGCCTTTGAACCAGAAGCTGAGATAAGAAAATATTGACCTCCTGAACCTGCCAGACCTTTGCTAGGAGGCTGGTTGACAGAAGGCTGGACCAGTCCTCTCCCCACTTTCTGCTCCTTCTGTGCTAGATTGGCATAGCTCCATCTTGCTCTTCTAAAGCTCCCTGGGTTGGTCCTGCTTTGGGGAGGGGATCAAACTCGATGACCATCCGAGGTCTCTTCCAGCCCCAGGGTTCTACGAACGCCCTACGTGACCTTTTGCGACGAAGCAGGACAACCAACGCTTTGCACAACACTTTGCAGAAACGAAGCAGTCCCAGCAAACCATCGCAGCACATTCAGGATTGTCAGCTGGTGCTGAACATTTCCCATAGCTAGCCCCCACTGCCCACTGAATAAAACCACTAAGCACACGTCAACACCCTGTCCTCCCCACGCAGTTTTCAGAATCACGCAGCTGAAGAGCTGGGTTATTTCCACAAACTCGGATCAGTCCCCAGTACTTTCATGAGCTTGGATTTTAGCAAAGAAAGTGTTTTCCCTTACAGGAAACTTAATTCATGACAATGACGCCCTATATTTATAGGTTTAAGCCATCCATTGACAGTAGGGCTTTTAACTTCCAGGTTGCGTCTAAACTGGCATGATTTTGCGGAAATACTTTTAACGGAAAAGTTTTTCCATTAAAAGTATTTCCGCAAAAGAGCGTCTAGATTGGCATGGATGCTTTTGCACAAAAAGTGCTTTTGCGCAAAAGCATCCGTGCCCAGTATAGATGCGCTTTTGTGCAAGAAAGCTCCAATGGCCATTTTAGCCATCGGGCTTTCTTGAGCAAATATTAAGGGGCCTGTCTACACTGGCCCTCTTGCGCAAGTATTCTTGCGCAAGAGGGCTTATCCCTGAGTGGGAGTGTCAAAGTATGTGCTCAAGAAGCACTGAATTCTTACATTAGAACGTCAGTGTTCTTGCGCAAATTCAAGCGGCCAGTGTAGACAGCTGGAAATCTTGCCAGTCTAGATGCACCCCCAGTGTCACATCCTAGCTCTGCTGTGTTCCAGATAGAAACATCTATTAATGCCATTAATGTACCTCATAAAGCCGGAGATCTTTCTCTTGAACGAGCTTCTTCACAAAAGCAGCTATAAACAGGCACCAGGCAGCCATGAGAGCAAAGGGAAGTGAGTAGGTGACACTACTCAGGAACCTGTAAAAGGCAAATGCAGGATTAAGAGGACCAGAACGGGTGCTGGCATAGGGGCTGGAGATGAATGTACTTTTCAGACTCATGCTCTTTGCACCAGAAAGCCAAGGCTCCGGTTTTGAAATGCAGAGTGTAATTAGGACTAGAATAAGACTATTTTGCACTTTATATAGGATCTTCCACCTAAGAACCGCCAAATGCTTAAAAAATATGAATGAGCTAGATTTATCCAGCATTGCTCGGGTCCTTAACTCAAATCATTTTTGTTTTTCTTAAATTAAATTATTGTGTGGGGAGGGGCTGGAGACGAGGGGTTCAGTAGACAGGCTGCCCTGGGGAGAGAGGACAACCCCAGCCCTCAGTGACCCCAACAGCATGGGGCCAGGTGATAAATGTCTCTCCATGGCCACTGAAGGTCCAGAGGACACAGCCAGGGGAGCGGTGCATGTCTCCCCAGATGGGGCAGGTCCAGGTTTGTCTGCCCCCTGTGCTCCCTAGGTAGAGTGAGGAATGCACAAAACTGGGCACTTTTCCCTCACTCCCTGAGGAAGAGAAACAACCAGCAACGTCCCCACAGAAATCGGGGGCCTTCTCACTCTCTCTAAAAGGCACCATGGCAGTAGGAGGCTTGGGGTTCGAGCAGTGACAAATCGGGGGGTACTTCCAACCAGCCCCTTTCACCTGTCTCAGGATTCTCTCTCTTTTCTGCATGGTTTTATGTCCGATTCCAGGCACATCCCATTTTCCTGGCACAACCAAACCCTTATCTTGCTTTAAGTTACGAGACGAGGAAGCTGCCTGCCAAATTTGATGGTCCTAGCTCTTAACCATTTAGGAGGAGTTCTTGAGGAAGACAGACGGATGGAAACATGGATGGACAGACAGACAGACAAACTCGCTCAACTATATCGTCGATGAACCCTCAGCATCCTGCTATTATGTAATTACCACCTCTGAAAATCAAGCCATTTATTTTAGTGCCTAACTATGGATTTGGGTACCTAACTTGACACCCACATTTGAAAAGCTTGTCCTGAGGAGGTCTTGCATCAGGCTGTGGAAGAATCAGCATCAGAACCCACATTTCATGACCACTGTCCCTCTGTGTTGTGCTAACAGATTTTTCTCTTCCAGTCAACAGGGAGTACCGGTAGTAGTAGTAGTAAAATGAACCTACTGCTTTTGAAAATAAGTGTATTAATGGATTGTTTTTCCTCAGTAGTTAAACTTTAATGAGTGTATAGCACGTCCTCTTTCTGGTGAAAAAAAAGCCAATACTATTTCTGCAAGAAGTTTCAAGTGAGATCATTTCAAATTTCATTTTGTTCTGAATCGTTTTAGTCGAAAACTCAAAAAAGCCATACAAATTAACCCATGTTTGCAGGTAACATTTAGATGAAAGTGCACCTTTCCACTACAAAAAATGTCAACTAGGTCTCCAAATTTCAGCCATTTCCAAATGTTACAGGAAAATGACATAGGAGGGTGACACAATTTGGCTTGTACAACAGTAACTCTGTGGTAGCAGGGGATGTGTGTTGACTTTGTAACAGTTTCTACTGTAGCATCATTCTGTAGCTCCTGCTGAGTGAAATGGCTGCCCTGAACTTCAGGCTGAAGGAAAAAGAATTAGGCAGGTGGGTTGTTTTCCTGGCAGCAAAGGTGTGAGAAAGGCAGCTTACAACTCAATAATAGGCACCTCGAGGAAATAATTCATCATAGTGCATAATGACTGAACAATAATCATCCGTATTTGGGCTGTAAAAAGTTGAACATTTTGTTTGAACTCTTCTGATCACCTCACAAGAAGGTGGCAGGTCATTTGCGTGTGAATTATTTAATTGTAATCTACATTACGAGAATACAACTCTCTCTCAGCCGGCCCCCTCATAAGGTTAACAAAATGTCCCACAGGTTACAAATATTTTTTTAGCTCAAACAGCACGGACTCGTGCTTTTCGCATGAAATGTCCAGAGTTCAAACCCTTTGGTTGGCCCGAGCGGAGTCAGTTATATTGTCCTCTGTAAAAAGATTATCCAAACGAACAGCGTGATGAGCTGAACGTCCCTCCTGGCTTTCAAATTAATTTTAAATGGCTTTTCACACTTATGTTTACCACGCGAGGATTTCCCACTTGGTCCCTGTAAGAATTCTGAGACCTCACCGTCTTGGGATTCCATTCCTTATTGTAGTAATAGAAATGTAGCCGTGTTAGTCTGGTGTAGCTGAAGTAAAATGCAGGACTATGTAGCACTTTAAAGACTAACAAGATGGTTTATTAGATGATGAGCTTTCGTGGGCCAGACCCACTTCCTCAGATCAAATAGTGGAAGAAAATAGTCACAACCATATATACCAAAAGATACAATTTAAAAAAATGAACACATATGAAAAGGACAAATCACATTTCAGAACAGAAGAGGGATGCCAGATATTCCCATGAAGGAAGTGAGAACCTTATTGTAAGCATCACATCCAGGGGCTGGATTCTGAGCTGGTCTCACATGGCTTGGTTCTACTAACATTGGCGCAGTTAAGCTGATTTCCACCAGCTCAAGGCAAGAGAAAACCGAGAACACCTCATTCCCACATCAGTCTGTTTACCATTCAAGGCTCATTCTGGTTCATACACAATTCATGCTACACCACTTGGTAGAACAGGCAGTTAACCCTGACAGCGCGGCATGCTGGAATCTCATCCGTCTCCCCATAACATTGTTGAGAGGAGGGTTACAACCTCATCTCCTCTATAGCTCTCGCAGCACCGGGGAGAGAGGAATATATTGCAGAACCGTACACTATGAACTGTGTCCAAGCTGGAGCTGCTGGCACAAATAATAAATACTTGCAACTTGACAGAAATATCAAGTCACTTCAAGCTCATCTTTAGGCTCATAAATGTAGGGACTTTTTTGGCTCAACAGATGAATTGTCCAGCTCTAATATACTATCTGCTTTTATACACCTAGGCTACGTCTAGACTGCAAGCCTCTTTCGAAAAAGAGCATCTAGACTACAACCAGTACTTTCGAAAAAGCAAGCAGCTTTTTTGAAAGAGAGCACTCAGGCAGTCTGGATGCTCTCTTTCGAAAAAGCACACTTTGCATTACATAGCGCCTTTTTTCAAAAGAGCACTTTCAAAAAAAGGCGTTATTCATCATAAAACGAGGTTTTCCACAGTCGAAAAAACTGCCGTGTTCTTTTGATTTACTTTCAAAAGAACGCGACAGTAGTCTAGATGCAGGGGAAGTTTTTTTTTTTTAAAAGGCCACTTTTTTTGAAAAAACCCTGTAGTCTAGAAACACCTCTACTGGAAAAAACAATCTCTGAAAAATCTCCTCAAATCTAATCCCTGCTTTGACAGTGACAGACTGTGCCTCAGTTTCCCTGTCTGTGAAATGGGGATAGTCATTTTAACCTACAGTGCTGTCTGCAGGAGTTAGGATGATTAACCTATTTATAGTGCTAGGAAGAGGCAAAACATTCGGGATGAAATCCTTACCCCGCTACAGTCATTCGGAGTTTTACTATTGATTTCGGGAGGGCTAATATCTTACCCTGCCTCCTTTCAAACAACAAACTTGTATTTTTAAATTATCATAAAGACTTTCCTTTTCTACTATGATTTTATCTTCATGAGACCATGACTTTGAGGAAGCCGGTGACTCCCAGCTATTGTCATGGTCCTGCGAATGTATAAGATGTCCTGCAGTCATTGTTGTTAACATGAAGTTAATAGAAGAAAGGGAGATTTAGGTTACATATAAGGGGAAAAAAATCTAACCATAAAGGTAGTTAAGCTCTGGAATACGCTTCTAAGGGAGGTTTTCAAATCCCTATCGCTGGAGGTTTTTAAGAACACAATAAACAAACACCTGTCAGTGAAGATCTAGATTGACCTGGCCCTTCCTACGTGTGGTGGCATGAGCCATCTGTCTTCCTGAGGTCCTGCCCAACCCAACATCCCTATGATGGTTTCATTTTAAAATAATTAAAAGCTCCTGGACTTACCTATCCTTATTGTAACAGGGGTAGGGAGTCGCCTGGACTTGGACAGCTATTTCCTGTGGACTCTTCCCGGTCTGTAACTCAATGATCGCTCTCTCAATGCTGTCCTGGATATAGATAAAGGCTCGGCTGTAGATCTGGCTCTGAGAGGCCGAATTATGTGGGCCCACGGTCCAGATCCTCTCCCTGATCCTATTGGTCGTTTGGGAAATCCTGCTGCTCATTCGGAGAGTATAATTGACCAACGGTGGAAGGGAGAGACTGCCGGGAGCTGCTCTCCTCCATCTGGTGCTGTTTGACGGTAGCGTGAAAATGACACCTGGGAAAACAAAGGAAGGTTGGGGGGGGGGTTAGTCAACGCTGATTGCAGTAGGATAGGGTCCCCTATGAGTAAAAGAATTGGAAAGCCTCATTTTTATAACCCTTTTGCATATTTTATGGAAAGAGCCTAAGGCTCACGAGGCCAGGCAGTCTGTGGTCACTCTGAAGCGTGTCAAGGGAGAGTTAGCGGTTGTGGCTTGGACTGTATTTACGTTGACATTACCACCACTGACCAGCAGCGTTCGAGGCTGAGAATCTCTGCCCTTGGAAAAGCAGACCCTTCAAACCATGCCACATCCGTGAGGTGGGCTTGGGGGAGCGGGGTTCTTCTCACTTTTGTGCAGTCCCTGACTGATTTTTCTACCTCCCTACCCATGTAAGGTTCTCTCCACCCCTGTTCTGAAGAAAAGCATGGTCTCTTCATATTATTTGTTTTACATCTTCCTTCTCCTCCACAGGCATTGCTGGAGGACAACTCTGTCTCCTGGACAGTCATCAAGAGTTCCCAAAGCTGCTCCACAAAAGACATATGGGCAACTTGCTAGGATATGGAGGGCTACCTACATCTCTGGGAGCAGACTTTCGCCCACTCTTGTCTTTGGTAAGGAGGTATGGCCGTGCAACCTGTTATGGCTGATGGCCTGAAAACTGCGGGTTGAGCATTTTTTGCAGGGACCGGTCATCTCCATATCCTAGAACTACGTGCATCGCACTTGATTCATGAATTGCACTTTGGCCAGGCCTAGCTTATGTGGGCATTTCTGTCCCCGAACAAGGCACTTACTTCCAAAGAGTTCATTCTTCAGAAACAGCTCTTTGGCTTCTGTTTCCAGCTCCTCTCTGGTTTTTGCCACCCGAATGCGATCAAACAACACGCAGGAGGAAACATTTACTGCCAGGTTAGATAGTATGTTCAGCTGATTGATGATGTCGGCGTTGTTCTGCAACTCCAACCTTATATCGTCTGCGGTGGGGGAGAAGAAGGAATGAAGTACAAGAACCACCACAGCACTCTAGGGTGAATGCTAGTGGCGATGGGAAAAACTAAATCTTAACCATGAAATATTATTCTGCATTTATCAGGGCAATGATTGCATTAATTGGCCCAATGTTTATGTTAATCATTCCTAACACGGTCCTCTATTTGTCTTTGGGAGGGTGCCAATTATGGAACGCGACAGCCCTTTCAAACCAGACTTGACTGCTAATCTGCTGGGTTTTTAGTGTTCTCCGTTCATTCCACGTCTCGTGGTTTTCACGGTTGTCGACACGTTGGCGGGTCTGGTTTTGCTCCGTGGCAAACACAACCCGATCAAGCAAGAGGTACGTCTGCTCTAGTGCTGTGTGTATTAATACCCAGGAAAGGCCCGGCAGTGTAACTAATAGGGAACAGTGGCCACAAGGAAGACGGTTTTGCTGCAGTTAGGGCAGGTGATTGCACTCAACAGGTGGCTATTTCATTTACACGGTGTGCTGTTATGGGCTGAAATGGGCTAGCCCGACTCCTGCTCTAAACCCCAGCTCCCCAGGGCTCTGTTGGCAGAAATAGGCTGCTACCTTAGTCCACTGAGGGAGCAGGGATGGGAGGGAGACCAGAGACCTGAAAACTGTAAAGCAAAACACCAGTTCTGATGCACATGAACTATTAAAATGACTTTCCCTCAGACTTCCAACTCACTATGTGGATGGGTAATATGGCTGAACAGTGCCCTCTGGTGGTCAGAGGGGATTAATTCAAATTATTGCAGAGACTCTCTCGCAATTTCGGTTTGAATAACAGGCAGGACTGGGAACATGAGGGTTTCTCAAAAATCAAAAAGGGGGTGTGATGCTGAAAAGTTTGGGAACCACTGTTCTAAAGGAACCTTGGCCATTCCTGGCAGAACATAAAAGGATCTTATGATGAACACATCTGGTGCATTTAAGCAAGCACTGTAGCCAGTCCTTATCTGGTATTGGAACATGAGAATTATCATCATTTTAGTCTGACCTCTTGCATAGCTCAGGCCATAAAACTGCACTCCGTAAGCCGCATCAAGCTCATAACTTCTGTTTGGCCACTAGAATAGCTTTTAGAAAGACATCCAGCCTTGATTTGAAGCCTTCAAGTTATGGAGAACCCACCATGTCCCTAGGCACATCATTCCAATGGTTAATTACTCTCACTGTTAAACATGAGCATCTTATTTCTAATCTGAATTTGTCCAACTTCAGCTTTGAATCACTGAAGCTTTTAATGTCTCTTTCTGGTTGATAAAAGACCCTTCTAGTTTCAAAAGTCTCTTCCTCAAGTAGGTACTTGTAGTTCATGATCACGTTACCTCATCACCTTCTCTTGGATAAACTAGGCAGAGCTTCTTACATTGCTCACATCTGGAAATGTTTTCCAGACTGTGAACCATCCTTATGGGTCTTTTCAGAAACCTTTCCAATATTTCAACCTCCTTTTTGAAGTGCGAACCCATTATTCTAGTAATGGTCTTGCTAACGTCACATTCAGGGGTAATACTACCGTCCTAGTTCTACTCGATATTCCCTTGCTTATCGATCAAAGGATCACATCCATCGTACCGGAAGCTCATGTTCCGTGGGTTATCCACCATGACTCCTCGGTCTTTTTCACTGTCTTTGCATCCCAGAATACTGCCCCTGCACTGTAAGGATGATCTGCATTGTTTGTTCCTAGATGTACGCATTTGCATTTAACTATATTAAAAATGCCTGGGCAGAGGAGTTAATTTTACCAAGCAATCCAGATCAGTTAGACAAATCATGTCTAACCGTCCTAACAGCTTTCTTTGACAGGATAACAAGCCTTGTGGATGTGGGAAAGTGTTAGATCAGATATGACTGGACTTTAGCAAGACTTTTGATACTATCCTGCATGACCTCATTAAAAAGGCGAAAGAAATACAACCTAAATGGAGCTACTGCAAGGCGGGTGCGTAACTGGTTAGATAACCATTCTTAAAGAGCAGTTATCAGTGGTTCACAGTACATCTGGAAGGGCATAACAAGTGGGGTCTCGCAGGGATCAGTTCTGCGTCTGATTCTGTCCAGCTCCGATTTAGATGTGTCATCACCAGTCTGGATGGAATAATCCATTGCACACATACGAAACAGGAAATGCTGTCTAGGAAGGAGTACTGCAGAAAGGTACCTAAGGGTCATAGTGGATCGCAAGCTAAATATGACTCAACAGTGTAACACGGTTGCAAAAAAAGTGAATGTCATTCTGGGATGTATAAGCAGGTGCGTTGTAAGCAAGACACGAAAAGTCATTCTGCTCTACTTCACGCTGTGGCCAGATCTGGGCCTTGCTCTACACTAGCTTTCCTAATGCCAGTGTACTCCCCTTATTTCAAAATAACAAGGTGAGCGTCCACACTACCCATCTCGTTATTTCGAAATAACGGGCTGGTTCTTTCAAAGTAATAACTCTTGCTTGTCATGAGCAGGGCTTGACAAACGGCGGCGAAAGCTGCTCGCCAGCCCTGCACTGCACATGCGCAAGACCCGCATTGCACATGTGCGCGCTTCAAATGAACGGGGCGACCGGCTGAAATCTACTCGCCACGGGTGAGTAGATTCAATACTTTGTCGAGCCCTGGTCATGAGGAATAACGCTTATTTTGAAATCGTTATTTCAGGAGTTATTATTTCGAAATAACTTCTTTCAAAATAATTTCCTAGTATAGACATGCCCTGGGTGCCACATTTCAGGAAAGATGTGGACGCATTGGAGAAAGTCCAGAGAAGAGCAACAGAAGTGATTAAACATCTAGAAAATATGACCTATCAGGGAAGATTGAAAAAAACTAGGTTTGTTTCGTCTGGAGAAGAGAAGACTGAGGGGGAACCTAATAGTTTTCTAATACATCATAGGCTCTTACAAAGAGGAGAAAAATTGGTGTTGTTAACCTATGAGGATAGGACAAGAAGCAATGGGCTTAAACTGCAGCAAGGGAGATTTAAGTTGGACATTAGGAAAAACTTTCTGACTATCAAGGTGATTAAACACTGGAATAAATTGCCCAGGGAGGTTGTGGAATCTCCATCACCAGAGGATTCAACCACAAGTCACCAGGGATGGTCTAGTTTTTACATAGCCCTGCCTTGAGTGCAGGGGACGGGACTAGATGACCTCCCAACATCCTTTTGAGCCTTACACTTCTAGGTTTCCATGATTTCCCATTTACAATTATTTTTAGATCTTTTATTTAAGCAGTTCTTAATCCATTTAAAATGGACATTTCGTACAGTGTACTAGTAATGATTCTGCCATACTTTAATTCTTTCCTGATTATAGTGCATATCCACCGTTCCCAAGATTTTTCCTGAGCTTACTCTTAGGCTAACTTGCCTATAGTTATTTGGGTCACCCTGTTTACTTAAAAAAAAATTAATGTCCCATTAGTTTCTCTTAAACAAAAAGGTCCAATAACATAGTAACCGGTTACAGTTCAGAAATCCCACAGCTAAGACTGTCTTTTGCATCTGATAATATGTTTTATACTGGATGCTACATAAGATAGATTCATGGAGAGGATGAGTGCTATTGGGCTAAGGTATGAGACTGAGACTTGAGTGACCTCATTTCAAGGCCAACCTGCCACAGAAATCCTGTTTGCCTTGGTCAAATCACTTCATCTCTCTTTGACTCAGTTACCCATCTGTAAAACAAGGCTCCCTTTTTTCTTCCGGCTGTCTTATCCACACAAGATGTGGGGACACTGCTCAGGACTTACGCTGAAATTTTAAGAGGAGGAATCTTTCCAGCACACACAAAGCATGAAGCATGGTCAGCACACACTATGGTGAGTTTGACCGGTACTACAGCAGCAGCTAGTTGGCCAACAGGAATCATTATACCAGTGGTTTGACAGTGTGGTAGCTATGATGCTCCGAGCACCCTTATATAAACAGGGGGCATTTGAATAACAACTTACCCAGTTCATTTATTTGGCTCAGCAGCTCACGAGCATCCAGCTCCACCATGAGTTTGATAAAAACTTGCACGAATGGATTCTGCAGGGTATTCTAAGAACATAAGAACGGTCATCATAGGTCAGTCCAAAGGTCCATCTAGCCCAGTATCCTGTCTGCCGACAGTGGCCAATGCCAGATGCCCCAGAGCGAGTGCCAGAACAGGAAATCATCAAGTGATCTCTCCTCTGTCACTCATTTCCAGCTCCTGACAAACAGAGGCTAGGGACACAATCCCTACCCAACCTGGCTAATAAGTGTTGATGGATCTAACCTCCATGAATTTCTCTAGTTCTTTTTCAAACCCTGTTAGAGTGGGAGTTCCACAGGTTGACCGTGGGTCATTCTGCCAAATGACAGAGCAAGAGTGACATCCGTGCCCTTTGGCACCCCTCCATGGGACAAACGCCCTTCTCGAACTGAGTCTCTTCACTGGATTTCAATTACGGTGAGAAAACTTTAGCCAGCAATGGTGTCGTGCGAGCTCTAACAGCATGAGCCAATGCAAAACATTCACACTGATTTCACCAGGTACCAGATGGGTTCTGGGAAGCACTTTGGCCTGAATCCTCAGTGGTACTAAGACATTCGAATATGAGCAAATGCCATTTTTGGTGCATCTACACTGCCATGGGGAGCTCTCAGGAGCATGTTTCTTCAATCAGCAGGATGGGGTTGGTGAGGTCTGCTGAAGAGCCCCAAAAATAGCTGTATAGCTAATGATATGGCACTGTGGCGTGGGGTCCTCAGACAGTTCCTTTTCTGTTGGCTTCAGAGCCCATGGTCCAACCCTGTGCCTACAGGTATTTTTAGAACACTAGTCTGAGTCTGGCGACCCTCCTGGGAGTTTCATGCCCACGGGCTCCAATATACTGTGTAGACATAACCCTGTAAGGCCCTGGACTCTGTCATAGCACAGTGCATAGGGGCCTGAGTGAGCCCCTGGCTGTCAGGTTTTAGCTTAGCTAATTCTACAAATGAGTCCACTCAGGCCTTGTCTACATGAAACGGAAAATCGTCACTGCCGTGATCGACCTTCCAGAGTTTGGTTTAGCGAGTCTAGTTAAGACGGTGGTATGATATTACCTTGACTACTGGAATGGTTTGGTTTAAGGTAGTCAGTGAACTCATGATCAACGGCGACTTGTCCAGCCATTCCTGGGACTTTTGCATCAGATCAGCCATCTGCTTCAGGGTTGCATTAGACTTTAAAAAGAAATAAAACCAAAAAACGATAAATAAAGCCACTTGACCGCTTTACAAAAAGCTACGTTAATATTTCCCTGGTCCTTGCATAGGGCATTGAACAAGTTTTTCCTTCTTTAGGACCCGATTCCCCAGCCCCTCCCTGTACTGCTGTGTGCTTAAGCACATGCTTAACTTGAAAACGTCTTGAATTTTAACACATGCCTCAACCACATGTAGTTGCTTAAGGATTAACCTGTTTCAGTGCTGTGCGGAACAGAGCTGAACTTAAGCACCTACTTATATGCTTTCCTGGAGTGGGGCCTTAAGTATTATGACTAGTCTAAACTACAGACTTATATCCATATAATTACATTGCTCAAGGATGTGAAAGGTCCACACCCTAGAGCGACACAGTTTTATCTACCCTACACACTGCATAGAGTGTGTTTTAAATGTAGAATTGCTCTGAGATTAAGAATAAGGCCATGTCTACACTACGCGGAAGATTGATGCTGCTGCGATCCGTCTTCCGGTGTTCGATTTAGTGGGTCTAGTGAAGACCTGTTCAATTGAACTCAGAGGGTTCCACCAGTGGCACCGGTACTTTTGCTCCTCATTAGGAGTAAGGGGAGCTGACGAGAGCGTTTGCTCCCGTCAACCTCACACTGTGTGTACAGCATAGAAATGAGATTTAAAATACATTAACTCCAGTAAGGTAATTAATGTAGCAGGAGTTGCAAATCTTAAGTTGACCTTCCATTCTCGTGTAGACCAGGCCTAAGAGTCTAGTTCTGTTAACCAAGAATCAACCATTTCCCTCCTGCAAAGCACCATCAGTAGCTACTAATGTTTATTGACCTCAGCTCCTTTTCTAGTTAACATAGAGCAGTGATCTGGTGCTGTCACAAAACTCTCAATATTTTCCTGTGGGGTTTCACAGAGCCTGGCTGGGGTGAAGAGCCAAAAGGAGAGCAGCTGCCAGTGACATTAATGGAAGATATTCTTACTGAAGGCAAGACCGATTTGATCTAAGGTCTTTTACAGAGAAACCCTTCCAAACCCAGCAATGCCCCTTCCATTTCCAGTGATGCTTGGATATTTCCTGCAATTGACACTATTTACCACATTCTCAAAGTGATAAATGATGAGTGGTCGCTGCCTCGTTAGCAATCTTCTTTTGCAATTAAGCCATAGGACCAAACTGGGGGTCCATATACTGTCTGTGACTGTGACCAGCACCAAGGGCTTCAGAGTAAGGGGCAAGAAACCTCTGAGGTAGATCTTTATGGGATAACCTAAGCACACCAACACCAGCTCAGAATACCAGTTCAGAAGGACTTGCAAGCGGACCTAGCCTCATTATTTTTAGGAAGCACTCCATCAGTGATGACAGCTCTGAATGCCTGCAAAATTACAATCCAGCTTCCATAATTTCAGTGGGTCCAATCAGCACCCTGCCGTCAGTACCTCCCTCCCCATTTGGAATTGAAATGCCTTCAACAATTCTTTGCTGATGACTGATCGACATCCTTTATTCATCTCTGAACTTCTTAGAAGCCAGAGATTGCTCCCAGTTTGAGGCTGAATCAATTGTGTTGAACAGTAATGCTTCAAGATTCATTTTTTCCTCCAAGGGGGGTTACCAAATCAAATACTTCCAAGACAGGCAGAAAACAGAATTTTGCTGCTTCTCCAAAAAGCCAGCCCACACCAGAGACAAAACTAGAAGCCCCATCTTTGGGATTGGCTTGACAAGAGCCCCTCTGAGGCCATGCCTCTACTTGCCACGCCGGAGATCGATCTTCTGGTGTTTGATTTAGCAGGTCTAATTAAGACCCACTAAATCGAATGCTGAGGGCGGCCCTGGTCGGTGCCAGTGCTCCTCACAGATTAAGGGAAGCCAATGGGAGAGTGAAAGCCCTCTGTGAAGACAACGTCAACCTTGGCTTATGGTAAGGAGACTCCAGCTACGTATTTTATGTAGCTGGAGTTGTGTACCTTAACCCAACCTTCTGGGTCTACTGTAGACCTGGCCTTGGTATTCACAACAACAACATCATACCTTTTCCATGATTGCTCGAGTTTCCGGGGTGTCTGGTGTGTACAGAATCTTCCCGAGCAGCATAGGTTTGAGGAAAGACCATATTAAAGCTCCGGTAGAGGTGCTGACCAAATCCAGATAAAAGGATAAACAGAATGGAGCTGCAAGGAGAAAAAAAAACAGATAAAGCAGATGCACAGAAATGCCTGCTGTGTTTTTCTGGTTGTGTCTGATTAACATCTGCATCCCCCTCTTTGGTGGATGTAATACCTCTTGACAGAACTAATCCACCACCCCCCTCCCCTGGTCTCCTGTTGTGGAAATCAAGACAACTAGATTCTCATTGTTCTAACAGATTTTTCTGCCTCAAGATTAAGTGGAGTTGCATGACCCAGGAGGTGCTAATCCCTTCAGTGCATCTGGAAAAAAACTACATGTCAGGATAAAAGCTCTCACCTGTCAAGTCCTCAAACCTGTCCACCATGTGAATTGGGAGATTAGGAAGCATTGAGGCTTACTCTTCTCAGAAGCCTGAGTTTTCCTTTCTAAAGCTTGAGGAAAAGATGTCCCCCCTAAATATAGAGGGCCAGGACCTTAGCAGGGGCAAATCAGCATAGCTCCATGGAGCAGAACTATGCCGGCAGGCACCAAGTGGGGGTTTGGCCCAGAACAGCTGCGTTCTGGATCTAATCGGAAATGCTGGGGTCGGCTCCGAAATGTTTCTGTACCAAGGTTCAAAACAAATGGAAGCAGCTTTTGTTATATAAAATGGGAGGGCCGGATGCCAAGGGAAGAAAGACCTAGGCTGAGTCGAGGGTCTCTGTGGAAAGCAGTTGTCCCCTTCCAGTCACACTGACTCCCAACCGGGGCCCAATTGCCATTGAAGGGTTACTCTGGGTTTGGAGAGAGAGAGACAGTGTACGAAGGCAGAATTGGCAGATTCCCTGAACCAATATAGCAGAAGTGAGGAACCTAAGGCCCGGCAGCCGGATGCGGCTCCCAGTTTGCCTGGAGCTGGCCCCTGAGGCTGGAGCACACAAAGTCTACTAGCCTGGGCCCCACAAGGCTCCGGTGTGCAAGGGGAATATGGAGAATGTCTTATTCCCTCCCCACATCAGCGAGGTAGGTTGTTGTTTTTTCTGCAGTAGTAAATGCCTTGATGGCTCTCATCACCGTGTTGTTTTGACAGGTGCCCCGCTCCCTGCTTCTCACTTGTGTGTGGCCTCCGGCTAATTTTTCCATGGGTCAGTGTCCCCCCTTCCCCGACTCAAAACAAGGTTCCCCACTCCTGCACTATAACATCTTGACACAAAATTATACAGCCCATCCCACACAAACAGCTACATTGTGACACATTCTAATTCCATCATCAGTGCGCCACCCAGAACTGATACAATAAACCAGCTGGCAGAAGTCGGCATAGCGCCATTGATTTCAATGCAACTTTGCCTATTTTAAAGCAGCCAAGGACTGGATCTGGGGCACTGTTGTGCCACTCAACATGTAGGAGCTAGAGCTGTTGCAATTTTTTTAAAATGTTGCCAAAAATGTCCCAACTTTGTCTGGGCTAAAAATGAATCCATGAAAAGAACATTTAATGGACTAAAAACACAGGGTTTTCCAATAAAGAAAATGGTATCAGAAGGGTTCTTGATTTTTAAAAAAAAAAAATTTAAATGACCATACATTTTTCATGTTGAAAAAAGCCATTTTTCAATTAAAGGTTTTGGCTGAAAAATTTCAATCCGCTCTCAGAAAGCTCCACTGAAGTTAGAGGCATTGCACTGGCTTCTCATAAACACCGAAGAGCACTGAATGAAGCCCACGCTTTTTTTTAAACTGAACCTTCTAACGAAGTCTCACTACATTCTCTGAGAAAGGGAACAGTTTCCGAGATTTCACGTGCGACACGGCTTCCGCAGCAGACTCACTGGAATCCTGGGGGATGCCGTATTTCCTCATGATCTTCTGCACATTTTCATCCTGGATAGAAGCACCCGGACTTGGGGGATTTCCAAAATTAGGAAGCAAGGATTCAAAAAACAAGGGTGTGATTTCCTCGTTGCAGAGAGCTTTCGAAATGGCCTTAAATGATCCATGAGTTCCTGTTTGGTTGGTTGTTTTAAACAATGCCTACAGGACCAAAAACAAAAGCAGTAAGAAACACCTGCACATTGAAAGCACCTTATCTCCGTGGGGGAGAGAAGCCACATTTATGTAGACTTGTTGGATAAGAGTTTAGCTGCCCACAAAACAAAGGAATTTACTTGGAAAAACAATAAAACCATCTGGCTTTGTCCTTTGAGTGCTTATTTATAAATATGAAGGGAAAGCATCAATATCAAAGGATAATTTGTGCCGATACACATCGGCGACAGGTAAATTTACATAAAGGAGTTGAGGCCACAGTGATGAGACCTACTGGATGTGCCTTTGAGGGGTAGGACATCTTCAGTTCTCACTGATGACGCAGTGAGTTACACCCTCTTTCCTGATTACGCCACTTCCACACAGCTGTAAAGTCTTCTGCGTGTTCTCTCCTCTCCTTGCCCATGTGACCACCCCTCCGCTACCTACACCATTTCAAACAAGAATGTTCCCAGAATCCAGGCAGAGGGAGCTGACCTCTGGTTGTCTCCCTGGATGCATGGAGAGCTTCTACGGGTAACACTGTGTCCCTCCTCCAAAGGCATTTTAGCTCAGTGCCTTTCCCAGACACACACACACCTTGGAGAGGGGCACCTTTCGAGACCGCTGTAGGTTTCTGAATGAATTAATCGCATCTATCAGTGGGTGCAGGTCAGATGCCACCTGGTCCCTGAAATGCTCCATCTCTTTGAGGAGGCCTAACGTCTTGTCCATTGATTTTTGTAGCTCTTTGGGGAAAAACATCTAGAAGAGAGGGGAAGGAAGGAAACAGCCATCAGGACATACACACACAGATCTAAGGTTAATTCTTAGGGGGGGTCAGGTGTGGGCTTTACAAAAGTGATTCGGAGCACAAATCCCATAGAAAAATAACGGGACTTGTACTCGCAAGTCACTTAACCATTGATTGAAAATTCTACCCTGGAACTTTAGGTGTTGCTCTGAAGAACCTGGCTGTAAATAGTTCAAAAGGGAACTAGATGTGTTCATGAAAGAATGGTCCATCCATGGCTATTAGCCAAGATGGACATGGATGCACCCCCTAAATCTCTGACTGACAGAAGCTTTGGAGAGGAATACGGGGAGGTTCTCTCCAAAACTGCCATTTTGTCTACTCCCTCTGAAGCTCATGTACTGTCCACTGTTGGAGACAGGATACTGGGCCGGATGGACCATTGGCCTGACCCAGTATGGCCGCTCTTATGTCTTTATGTCAATCACGACAGAGTCAAGTTCACTGGCATACTCATTTGTTTACATTGTTCAGCCGGGCAATTCCTTAGCATTGTTTTAGATGTGTCAGAACCAGGCTTGCTTATTAAACAGACCTATTTTGACACATGGTCTTCATCGACTGTAGCTACAGGCAGCGGAACCTCCGAGCTGCAAGCACCTCGGGGATGGAAGTTGTTCGTAACTCTGAAATGTTGGCAATGCTAAACAACATGGTACGGTTGCTCTTTCAAACGTTTACAGCTGGACTTTGACTTAATACAGATTTGAAACTGCACGATGCAGAAGCAAAATGCTGCATTTAAACCTCCTTAAATTTAAATGAAACAAGCACAGAAACTGTTTCCTTACCCTGTCAAATCTTATTTTAAACCCCCCCACACACACTTTTTCTAAGTAGTTCACATTGACACAATACTGTACTATATTTGCTTTCCCCCTCCCTCTATCTCTCTGCTGCTTTCTGATTGCCTACATCTGGTTCCAAATGAGGTTTGTGGTTGACTGCTCACTTCATAACACAGAGGTTCTATGGCGTGCTGAATATTTGGCAAATAAATCTTGCAGCACCTTTTAAAAGTCTGGGATTTAGTAGGATAACTAATTGATACAGTGACCCATAACCTAGTGTCTTGTATCCATGGAGACCTAGGATGATTGGACTCTACCCTGGCAAGACTACCTTATGAGTCACATCCTAGGTTGCTGTAAATCAGTGTAGCCCCAATGGTTGTAATTGAGGTTTGCCAATTTTCACCAGTTGGCTCTATAACTGACAGTTGTCTTAAGGTACATGTTAGCATGAATATGCAATAAAACATTATTAATTCTTTCATGCAGAAGGCCAAATCCTCAGCTGGTGGAAACTGGCCTACCCCCATGCCAATATCGTACATGGCCAGGGTAACTAACAAAAGCCACAAAAGTGCCCTAAAAAACAACACAAACCTTGTAGAGAAAGGTGTAAATGTCCAGGTGACGTAAAAGTATGACCCCCAGGACATAAGATTGACGGGCCCTTTCTGGAAGTGACAGGTTGCAGAATTTCCTCACAACTGGTTCTAGCTTTGGGTCGATGGAACGGATGTCACATGACTCCAGCTGGAGAAGCTGAGAAATGAGCTGTATTTGCAAAAAAAAGCAGATTTGCAAATTATTCAGTTGTTCCACGGCACATGGGTTAAACTACTGCTTCTCAACTCTTCCCCAACATCATCTGCCAAAGCTGAGGACTAAAGCCAGATCTATACTACAGCAGAAAGTCAACCTAAGATACGCAACTCCAGCTACGAGAATAGCGTAGAAGGAAGCGACGTACATTAGATCCATTTTTGAGGTCTCCCCATGGTGGGAAGTTGACAGAAGAAACTCTTCCATTGACTTCCCTTATTTCTTGTGACCCGACAGAGTACTGGAGTTGACGGGGGCACCATCGGCAGTCGATTTAGCTGGCCCTTACTAGACCCGCTAAATCAAACCCGAGGAGATTGATCTGTATAGCATTGATGTTGGAGTAAATGAAGACAAGCCCTAAGACACATGCCTTCTCTTCCCCATTATTCCTATACAGAGAAACCAAGCACAACGGTAATACTGGAGGCACATTTTCCACAGGCTTACTTGACCATGGTGGTTTAGCTTTCCCAGCGACTGACAGAACTGGTGTTTGGTAAAAATGAGCTGTGAGACTGAATCCAAACAAGGTGATGGGGAGGTTCTGAGGCAGGGTTGGAAGAAGAATTTGGAGCTGATTCATTGAGGAGAGCATGTCCATCCTTAGAATACATGATGCACTAGCTTAATATTTGAGCAAACACCAAGTATGTGGCTACCCACCAGTCACTGGTGTCAGTCAAAGAACATACCACTCCTGGTTTCCAGAGGCTGCTCTGGCTTACAACGTTCTTGGTGTCTAAAACACGATAGATTTTGTGTCCCTTAGCCATTGTGTTTCTCCTTTTCCGTTCCCACAGGAGCCGAGATCTGCTGAATTGCATGCACTAATAGCCCCTGGATTTAATTATCCAAGGGCAGAACTTAACAAGGATGTGCAGTTTATCAGAATGACCATAAACTTACCTGCGTTATGTTTTCTGGGAGAGGGGTTTCCACCAGGGCTTTGACACTTGCTGGGGACATTCCAGCTTTATTTCTGAGCTCCTCTTTGAGCTGGGTGACATTTTTAAACACCGCCATTAACGTTTCTTTAAAATAAAAAAAAAATGATATAATAGTTTTTTCCATCCTTACAGAACTATTACCCGGCTCAGTGCACAGCGCACCTACATGAAGGCAGCGGTAGAAAAACATTTTTGCCCAGACTGAAGATGTTGTGCATTTTGGTTAAGAGGAGCACTTAAATAGGTCTGAATTTGGATGGACCATTTGTTAATCTGTAAGCATCTAGTAGCAGGTCCAGGGATTGATGGAGCCATTCCTTTTGGGTCTTGCACCGGAGTACAGCAACTCTGACTCAATAGGAGTTTTGTAACTGACTTCAGTAGGCCTACAACTTATCCTAGAAAAGAAGCCAAATGGGCATCACCCATGCTTACTACAGTCATTATAGCACTTTCATAAGACAATCATTGTGAAATTTGCCTTGGAAACGCCAAGAGCAATGTAGGGGTAAACTGAGGCAGTCCATGGTATTCTGCTAAGAACTCTCATCTAAATCCTAAATTATGAGGCTAGGCTGGAGAATGCACAGAGCAGACAGTTAACTTGACCGTGGTTGCCCTGGCAACCACATTCCTCATGCTGATAAAGCACTGGTGTGGTCCCAAAACAAACCGCGCAGAAGTGTTTCTCACTGTCTCCTTTATTTCTAGAAAATAAGCCTGAATCTCAAGGACCACGCCAATGCAAGGCACTTTCACCCCCGCAGTAGACGTATCATAATTTCAGTAGACAAAATTGCCATCAACCTGTCTTTTGTTTATGTTGGTTTATTTAGCTTGTTAGGAATAATTACCTGTATGATTAATAAGATGTTTAATTTGCAATGGGTGGAGATACAGTCTAACCTTCGTAGTTTATTGGCTTATGTGCTCATTCCATTTCTGCTGCTAGACCTATCAAATCACTTCACCTCCATGCATCTTCTGCCTATACAATTTAATGTATGTTTAACTAGTGCTCGCCAGGTTAACCCCTGGTTGGTACCCCACTAGCGCTGGTGCACAATAAATCCTATACTTGTTTTCACCATATCCAGTGTGTCCGGAATTATTCCCTACAAGCAACGAGAAAATTAGTGGCTATTCTTATCAACCAAAGTTTCATAGTAAATAGTAAAACTACCTTGTTTAGTAGAAACTGTTGCATTCTCAGTGGTATTCATCAGGGAACTTATCATAGCCATATGCCGAGAGATATCTCGAAAATAATCAATTTGCGGTATAGTTTTTTGAAACCTTACGTTTAAAAAAAAACAGACAATATTAAAAGAAAATAAAGGGGCCCACATTAATAATTACAGGAAGAAACACTGGCATGGAAGAGCTCAAAGAAGTCCTTACCAACTCATTTGTGACTGGATTTTTGTGGGATCCCCGATCAGTACATCTTGAAGTTCTCGCGCAACCCTGTTGTGATTCACGACATTTGTCACAAGGTGACTGCTTAACTCAATGCTGTGAAGGAGCTGCTCGTGAAATTGACTCTGCTCACACAGTGCTTCAAAGCGCACCGTCGGGAGCTGACACATACGCTGCAGTGATTTAAAGCTCTGGTAGTCACAAAGAAGCTTTATCAGGCTTCGGAGGCGCGATGTCTTTAAATTGAAAAAAAGAGAGACACACAAGTTCTGGAAGAGGATTATCAAAAGAGGGCCTTTGGCTAAAGAATATAGACATTGCTTCTCTTTCGGATTCTGCTTTCAAGCCCTTGAGTTCAAAAGCTCTTAAAATAAACTGAAATTCACGTGGGCTGTTACCAATCTAGGAGAGGCAGAAAAGTCTACGGGCTAGCGACAAGTCTGCTACTGTCCTATATGACTTTGAGCAAGTCACTTCTCTTCATGCCTCTGTTTCATAGAATCATTGAATCCTAGAACACTAGAACTGGAAGGGACCTCGAGATATTATCGAGTCCAGTCCCCTGCCCTAACGGCAGGACCAAGCACCATCTAGACCATCTCTGACAGGTGTCTCTCCAACCTGCTCTTAAATATCTCCAGTGATGGAGATTCCACAAACTCCCCAAGCAATTTACTCCAGTGTTTAACCCCCCTGACAGTGAAGAAGTTTTTCCTAATGTCCAACCTACACCTCCCTTGCTACAGTTTAAGCCCATTGCTTCTTGTCCTATCCTCAGAGGCCAAGAACAACTTTTCTCCCACCTCCTTGTGACACCCTTCTAGATACTTGAAAACTGCTATCATGTCCCCTCTCAGTCTTCTCTTTTACAAACCAAAGAAGCCCAATTCTTTCAGCCTTTCCTTCCACTCTTTAGCTTCCTTTAGGTCTTTTCAGTCTTTCCTCAACTACCCTTTAGCTTCCTCATCTATTTTTATCGTAAAGTCTGTAGGGATGCGATTATCTTTACTATGTATTTGTAGTGGGCCTAGATCTCTGGACTTTGGAGTCAGTTCAAGCAAATTGAACACCTCCCTTTCCTCCCAACCAGGTAAGTGCATTTGCTGTGACCATGTGGGAAATAACACTATTTCTCCTTGGTAACAGCCACCCCCCAAGCACAGGCTCCAGTGCTAGCTCATGTCAGAGGTTTTTAAAACGGTTTGCCATGTGCTGGTTCCCGGAATACTCCATTGCCCATGGATGTTCCTCTGAGCAGACTTACTTTGACCTGTAGGATCTCTGGAATAGAAGCATGTCTCCCAGCGGTGTCACTTAGATTGAAAGGAGCATCCTTCAGCCGAGTGCGGTTCAGGAGAAGCGCTACCGTTTCTGTCAGGGGAAAGAAGTTACTTTCAAGGACACCTGGGCTACGTCTAGACTGGCATGATTTTCCATAAATGCTTTTAACGGAAAAGTTTTCCGTTAAAAGCATTTTCAGAAAAGAGCGTCTAGATTGGCACGGATGCTTTTCCGCAAAAGCACTTTTTGCGGAAAAGCGTCCGTGGCCAATCTAGAC